AACAAAGAAAAAAAAACATAAAAAAGGGAAGAGAAGCCATCAACACCACTGAAAGCAGCAGTGGCACAAAGAGAATGATGGCTGGTGGTGGATAAAAAGAAGCGACAGCGGCTAGTGCAAAGGCACCGAAAAACGGGTGTTAGGAAAACTGATGGTTTCATTTAGAAAGAATAATTTTTTTTTTAAAAGGGGACTGGAATGAATGTGAACAAAAAAAAAAGGTTTTATAGTATAAAAGAAGCATCAAGCGGGTCAGCTCGACCCACGGCCCGTAACTCAACTTGGATTCGCTCCAAAACTTTCTACCTGGCCCATCAAAGTAGACTTGGCTATGGCCCACTCCAAGCTTGATTTGAAAAATTTTGAGCTTCCTTCTTTATTAGGTTAAACCTAATAGCTTAGTAATTGTTGGTTATTTTGTTAGTTTCTCTTTCAATTACATGTATTTATATAGGATTTTAAATATTTGTTCTAAAATAATTAGTGTTACTTTAATTAAATAATAAAAAAGAAATATGTTACATAATTTGAATATTTGGATAATTTTAACGTTGGAGATTTAAATTTTTGTTAGTATCATGTAAGCATTTTTGAATCATGTGCATTAGTAAAAATAAAAAAAATTTTATAAATTTTTTGATGATGAGACTTTGGGAAGTCTGAGTAATAATTATCGAAAATGACCAAGTGAGAGAATTTTTTCTAAAAAATATTGTCAAAGAATTGGAATATTTAGAATGATTTTTAATACGAAAATTTCTCATCTATTATGCATTTGTAAAAACTAACTTTTATGTGATGTAATAGCATAACAAATTAATCTATATGCATCGTACTAAAAAAGATATTAAAATAATAATAATAATAAATATAAATGAAATTTCAAGGATAAAATCTTAAAGAAGTCAGAGTAGTGATTCTTTAAAAATCTTTATATAAGAAAATTTATATAAAATGCTATTAATGTATTTGAGCATTTATAATAATTTTCAATAAAAGAGTTCTCGTCTTTTTTAAATAGAATAATAAAAGAATTTTTTAGAAAGTGTTATTTGGATTAAATTATAGACATCTTATTTTATAATATGCTTATAAATATGAATATTAAAAATAAGTATGAGTCCGAGCAGTGATTCTTAAGAAGTCTTTAAGTAGGAAAGTTCCTATTAATATTACCAAAGTATTAGAATATTTTCAAAAATTTTTCAATATGCAAGGTTCTTGTTTATTTTAAAAAAATAAAAAAAAAACTAAAAAATAATAAAAATATGTTTTTTTAACAATAAAAAAAATTAAATTTTAAATACCAAAATTAAAACCATTTTAATCAAGATCAAATGATAACACATAATTAATTAGTATCATTTTAAATGGCATTGTAGGGGTGACAATTCTTTCCTACGTGTAATTGACTTTCAAACTTAAACTGTTTTTACAAATAAAAAAAATTATCTTTTTGATCAAGTTTTAATTAATTTTAAAATTTTTATTAAAATGATACGTTTTAATATATGACCAATCGTATTTAATCAAAAAATATTGATGAAGATTTTTTTTTATTTTTAAATTTATCCATATAAAAAATCATTAGAACAAATTTAATTAAGAATAAAATACTATTTAGCAAAGATCCTTTTAAGATAATATAAAATTAATCAATACTGTCTTTGTATGGACGATTTGAGACCATTAATACTTTTTCCGCACATAATAATGTACGGTAAAACTTGTCTCTAAGAGGGGATAACTCTTAATTGAATTGTTAGTTGCCAAATAGTATTCCAGTTGTCAAATAACTATTGGTTAATAAAAAGTGAAATAAGTGATTGGATTTGGTACGAAATGGTGTATTAAGTTTTGATTGGATTGAGATACGGTGAATTGAGGTTTAATTAGATTCAGAAAAAAGAATGTTAGTTTTTGTTTGATGTAAGTTTGTAATTAAGTGAGTTTTTATGGGTTTTGAATTTTTATAATTTTTTTATTTATAATAAAATAAAAATTAAAAATATATAATAAATATAAATATAAAAAAATATAAAAACAAAAAATAAAAATTACGTTACTTTGTTTTTTATTTGTTTTAAATATTTTTATAAAAAATTTTATATTTTACAATAAATTAAAAAATCATACATATGATTAAATGACTAATGAAAAATACAATACTCGTAAGGTAACATAAAAAATTAACAAAAAAATGCAATTACAATATATGAAATACTCTGTATATTAATTTTATTTTGTTGTCAAAATCTATGAAATACTATACATAACATAGCATGAAAAATTAACAAATTTTTTTTTTCTTTTTCATTGTTTAATATCTAAATATCTAATATATTTTTATTACACTCCTACTGTGGAATACGATTTTCTATTTAGTTTATAATTAGAGTTGACAAAGCTCCTTTTTAAATTTCAATAATATGATTTCATTTGATTTGATCAAATAAATTAATAATTCAAACTCATTTAATTTGGATCAAAATTGATTTGAATTATAAATAATTCAAATTTAAACCATTCTAAAGATTAATTCGACATTAAATTATTTTAATTTATAAATTTTAATAATTTAAATCAAAATTATCATATATCAAATTTAAAAAATCCTAAATGATGGAAAATAATCAGAATTCGAACATCCAACTGTAATTTTAGCTTATACGAGCATCCAAAATCTTGGGCTTTATCTTTACTTTTCGCATAAATGGCAGCCATTAATTCCATATTTCATTTTCCCTCGCTAATCAGTAAATCTCAGCCTCCAAAAACAGCAGGCACAAAAAATAATGAATGAGATACATAAATGGAGCCCTACTGTATTGGCAGTCGGCTGTTTTTATTCAGATAGCAGCTGGAACTGACAAGTCAACTGATTTCAGTAGTTCCTCACCCATCTCGATCGTTCGCCGTCGCAACCCACTAGTGAAATTAAAAGCTCACCTAGCAAAGGAGAGCATGAACAAAAACAATGGACCAAAAAGTGGAAAATGAAAGAGAAAGAAAAGGAAAAAGAAAAAGAAGTGGCGATGGGGTTTGAGCTTGGAAGGAGAGAGAATATGAAAAAAATAATTAATAAATAAATTTAAAATTTAAATCAATTAATTTATATAATCACTTTTAAAAAATATCATCCAATATTTAAAATTTAAATTTTAATACTTATAATTTTTTTTTTATTCTCATATTATAATTTTTTTTATAGCAAAAAAATTGAAAAAAAAAAAAGGAAAAAAAAAAAGAAAGAAGTGTCAGGTTCGAGATTGGAGCTTGGAAGGAGGGAGATGGATGCAAATTAACTAGAACAAAAGTTTATAAGATCCCTATCAATAAAGCAGTTAAGGGACCACTTGTTAATTACCAAAATAAATATATAAAAGAACTTTAATTTTAGTTATAGGATTATTATTTTACAAACAAAATTAAAATATTATCATATTTTTTATTTATCATATTAATTTACATTTATTATTTTAAATATATCTTGATAAAATATGTGAAATCCTCTACGTATATGAGATAATCTTAATTTATAACTGATCTTTGATAATCGCTATGGTAGAAATTAGAGGGACTGTTTCGTGGGTTCTTTTTTAACCACTTTCTCAGCCAAGTCTTATTGGTTAATTCTTGTGAATGATTACAATTCTAGCAATTTATTTTAGTGCAATTGTAAGAAATCAAATTTGATTTAATTAATTTATATTTAAAAAATAATATTTAATATATCTACAATTTATATTTTAATATAATTATTCACCTTACTTTCAACTTCAAACTCAAAAGTGAAAATTACTTCGATTCTAAAATTAAGCAGGTAAGACAATAATATTGAATATTCCATTTATACTAAAAGGAAATAGTCAAATACTATCATCTAAGTTATTATTATTATTATTATTATTATTAATGTTTGTTAGTTCGAGTGATAAAAAATTTGATTTTTTTAAATAAAATTTTTATTTCAAATCTTATGAATAAAAAAAGTAAATTTAAAAGAATTTGTCTCTTTTATAAAATTCGATTTGATTCGATTTCGAATAATTGAGGCTTAAAATTATTATAGCAACGAAAGACAAATATTTCTTTTAGTTAGAAAACAAAAGTGAGACTCATGTTTTTTTCGAACTGAAAGATACATATATTATTATTATGGAATTAAATGTTAAAAACATTGTGATGTTTACTTTATTATGTGAGTGTTACATTACATCCTTTCAATTATTAAAGTTTTACAAAAATAGACTGCACATAAAAATGAAACATCAATATCGAATAAAAATAGACTGCCTTGAGCCATCTATTTTGACCCCATTCATTAATTTTACGTTTAAAAATAAAAATTATTAAAAATATTAATCTACTTTTAGCTTAGCAATCAAATATAGTGATTATTTTTAAGGAAAATTATCTCAAATACAAGAGATAAAGTTTTATGATGTTAGATGATTATCACATATTTTATTATGCTATACTTAAAATAATTTAAAATTAATATATAAATAAAAATACATCTAGTAATATTTTTGTTGGTACATAACAGTTTAAAATGAGAGAAACTTTTTTAATCCAAAGTCAAACTTAATGTATTGAATAACAAATAATGATTCACTCTTTAAACTTATTGTAATATATAATTACAAAAAAAGACAAAAATTTGGGTTTTTTTTTTTTTGGGCAGGATGATGCAAAGCTCTGGTCTTACCAGTTTAGTGTTCACTTTTTATTTGAAATTATCATGATCATTGAAATAATGAAATTAAAAATTCAAATTATTTCAATTGAATATGAGTTTATCCCATATCCTTAACAGGATGGGCCTTTTTTTTTTTTTTTTTTTTGAATAAAGCATGGGCCATTTCTTAATTCCTATAAAAAAAAAAAAAAAAAAACTCCAATAAAACCTGAACTAACAAGTTAACAAGTTAAAATAACAAAATCAATTGATCAATAATTTTAACTTGTAAAACTGGGGTGTGTTCTTATAAGGCCCTCCCTCCCTCCCTCCCTCCCTCCCCCTTTCTAGTCTGGTTGGCGAACTTGAAAAGCAAACAAACTGACGGTTAAGCCTAAAAAAAAAAAAAATACAACTCTGCCTCTCTTCTCTCTTCCTCTAGAACCCACCACTTCCATATATAAGCCTTAACATGAACCAGAAGCTTGGCCAAGACAAAGAAGAAGAGCTGGCCTGGAACTAAGAGTCTAAGACAGAAATGAAAATGGTGCAAAATGGTTTTGTTGGAGAAGAACAATTGGTGAGTTCTGGTGAAGGGCCGGTGGTTGTTGGGGTGAAGCTTGATTCACCAAGCAGAGAGCTTTTGACATGGGCTTTGGTTAAGGTGGCTCAGCCTGGTGACTGTGTGATTGCTCTTCACGTTCTCGGTAACAATGGTCAGTAAAAAATTTTGAGTTTTTTTTTTATTCCTGTTTCAGGATTTTTTTTTTTTAAATTGGTGGTGTTTGATTTTTTTGGGTGGTTTAGCGAAATGGTAGTTGATTTTTTATGTGTGTAGAAATTGTGGATCGAGATGGGAAGTCTTCACTTTTATCGCTTGTCAAAGCGTTTGACTCTGTTCTTGCTGTCTATGAAGGATTCTGTAATTTGAAACAGGTTTAGTTTCATGCTCTCCTTTACCCTTTCTATGCTTTTAGCCTTGTTTTTCAGTGATAAATTTGTTAATCTCAATTTTCTCTGTTTTGTCGATTGGAAAATGAAGGAGAATCAGAAATGGAAATTTGAGTTTCCCCTGCTTGCTCAAATTAGCTACAAATACAATGCTAAAAATAATTGATTGAACATCTCCAGATCAAATTTAAGACTTAGAAAGAGTTGGTTTTTGGTGATCATTTTGCAGGTGGATCTCAAGCTTAAGATCTGCAGAGGTTCTTCAATTCGCAAAATTTTAGTGAGGGAAGCACAATCTTATTCTGCTACTAAGCTTATAGTTGGAACCGCCGCCAAACTCCATAAAATCCGTTCGTCGACATCGGTAGCTAAGTACTGTGCTAAGAAATTAACAAAGAACTGTTCAGTTCTTGCTGTAAATAATGGGAAAGTTGTGTTCCAGAGGGAGGGCTCCCGTTCTCCGGCTAGTAGTTTCGGTTCGCAAGGTAAAAAAAGTTTGTTTTAGTTATCCAGTTCTCGGATGTGAATGTAAATTTTTCATGGATACTTACGAATTTCTTTGTTTCGTATTTGTTCCAGGAAGTGAAGATCAGAAACGAAATAGTTTGCTTGATGCAATTCAGCGAACGATGGCATTAAATAAGAATTCTAAATTACTGAGTGAAGGAAATGCCAATGCCGAGACCAATCTGAATACTGATGAAACTAACTACAAAAATTTGGAGCAGGCCTTATTAAAAGCCAGTTCGGGCAGCTTGGAGAGTGCTCTAAAGCAAAATTGCTCGGTTTGTGGATCCCGTGAAAAGTTGGTGCTGCATAATTCTTGTTACCAATCTGCACAAGAGTCTTCTGGTACTGATGCTAATGATGGAGACAAATCCTTGGCTATAATACCAGTACAAGAGACTGAGGCTCCATCGTGTTCGATTTCTATGTTGATCAAACAGTTACCTGAAATCAGACCTGGTTGGCCTCTACTTCGCCGTGCAGTTTTATCAGATCGACAACGACAAGTTCCTGATCGGTCTTCATTGAGGCAGATATCTGTGGTTCAGTGGGTAATGCGGTTACCCTCTAGAGGTACTTTGTACATGGACAATTCGGAACAGAAACAAGAAGGTTGCTATCAGAGTGAATATAAGTCCTCTAATTTTGATGGAGAAAGCGGTGCAATTGTTCCAGTGGGTGTAGAAAATTTCATTGCTCAGCGTTCTCCTGATCACAACTCAATAAACCTGCCAAAAGAATTGGAGGGTCTTCATGAGAAATACTCTGCAACTTGCAGATTATTTAAGTACCAAGAACTCCTCTCAGCAGCATCAAATTTCTTGGCCGGTTTGTTTTATTCATCATTCCTGTCTGCAAATATTTACTTTAGTCCCTCCTCTTGAAATTGGTTGACTTGACTTCTTCTTTTCTTTTTTATATTTTATTTTCAGAAAATTTGATTGGAAAAGGAGGTAGTAGTCAGGTTTATAGGGGTTGCCTTCGAGACGGTAAGGAGCTCGCTGTGAAAATCCTAAAGCCTTCTGAAGATGTATTGAAGGAGTTTGTTTTGGAAATTTATATTATTACTACATTACATCATAAGAACATTATTTCCCTCTTGGGTTTCTGCTATGAGGATAACAATCTTCTCTTGGTTTATGATTTCTTATCAAGAGGAAGCCTTGAAGAAAACCTTCATGGTAAGTAAATGCATAATATTCTTGGTTTTTGACTTTTGAGATCGAAAAGTGATATCATAAGTTAGCTTCTCAGTTGCGTACCAATTCAGGTAATAAGAAGGATCCTGGTGCATTTGGGTGGAGTGAAAGATACAAGGTGGCACTTGGGGTAGCAGAGGCCTTAGATTATCTGCATACTAACAGTGAGCACCCTGTAATCCACAGGGATGTTAAATCTTCAAACATACTACTGTCTGATGATTTTGAGCCTCAGGTAACTTTCATTTTTGACTTCCAACTCCTTTGCTTTCAAATTTGAAAATATTCCAAAACTAAAATTTTCATGTTTTCTACCTGGTTTATGTAGCTATCAGATTTTGGACTTGCTAAATTGGCGTCAACCTCTTCTTCACATATAACCTGCACTGATGTTGCAGGAACCTTTGGGTATGTAATTGTGTCCATTTATTTCAAGGGTAATGTAGCGAACAAATATGAAAGTTTCCCCAAGATTACAAACAATTGAAAATTTTGTTGGTACAACTTATTGATTAATTAATGATATTACCATTTGCTCCAGCTATTTGGCTCCCGAGTACTTCATGTATGGCAAAGTAAATGACAAGATTGATGTTTATGCATTTGGCGTTGTGCTGCTTGAGCTACTTACTGGAAGAAAGCCAATAAGCAATGACTATCCGAAAGGCCAAGAGAGCTTGGTCATGTGGGTATGTCCTTTTTGCTCGTATGGCTCATCATTTTTAATCCACCTTTCAGTTTTGTGTCTAAAATAAAATTGACCATTTCTAGGCAAATCCAATTTTAATTGGTGGGAAGGTTTTCCAATTATTAGACCCAAGCTTGGGTGTTGGCTATGATCGTGACCAGATGGAGAGGATGGTTCTCGCTGCCACGCTTTGTATTAGACGTGCCCCACGGGCTAGACCCCAAATGAGTGTGGTAGGTCATCTTTGATCTTTTCTAATCAGACTAGCTTTTTCTCTCAACGACTTTTCTGGACAGTCAAGTCTTAAAGGTGGTACAAAAGTAGGCTGTAAATGAGTAAAAGATGAATGAATTTTGATATATTTTGATTAAATAACGAACTCTGAAATATTGTTTGGGATGATTTGTTAAATTTAATAAACAAACAGAAATTAAGTTTGTTTACAATTCGGATATAGGGATGATAAATTCCCCGTAATTGATGGATTTTGACTCGAATTTATTGTTTAAGATTTGTTTTTTTTAAATCAAGTTTCAAGTCGAATAAAGTAATAATAAAAAATTTTAAATATTATTTTTAATTAATTATTTAATTTTATATTTATAATTTTATTATTTATTTAAATTATATTTATATAAAAATAATTTTTATATTTAAAAAATAATATTTTATTAATTTCGAATTAAATTAGATTGGATATGATTTTATATAATATCAAATTAAGTTAGATTCGGATATAAAAAATTCTAAAAAAGTAGGATTGAGTCGGATTTGAGTATTGTAAATATAAAATCGAGTTGAGTTTGAGACGAATAAAAATCATTCCGATCCAATTCGTTGTCATCTCTACTCGAAAATGATCAAACCAAGTATGTATTATTCTGCTCGGAAAAGAATAGTTGTTGTTTCGGTGCTAAAACCTTGTTTAAGTAGATAACCTTGCTTCTTTTGATTCTTGGATGAAATAATAGATAATTAATGTTGTTTAATGTGATTGGTTGGCTAAAGGTTGTGAAGCTCCTTCAAGGTGATCCTGATGTGACAAAGTGGGCAAGACTACAAGTCAATGCCTTGGAAGGATCTGATACATTGGATGATGAAGCTTGTCCTCAGTCGAACCTCCAATCCCATCTTAGCCTTGCATTGCTTGATGTGGAGGATGATTCACTCTCCATGAGCAGCATTGAGCAATCTGTGTCATTAGAGGACTACCTGAATGGTAGGTGGAGCCGTTCATCAAGCTTCGACTAACCACAAATATACTGGCAAGCTAAGCTGCGAACAAGCATTCTTCCATTAATGAATTTTTTTTCCCTCCTTGTATATTCTTTGGGATTTTTACACTCTTTTCTTTCAACGGGGCTGCTTACAGTAGGTGTCGGATGAGAGGTTGTTTGCCTGGTGTGCCCTCCTCCTTCCCTATCTATTCAATCAATGTTCTGTGTTTGTGGGACTGCTTGCTCAATTCTCCCCTCATTTTTTGTTTGTTTGTTTGTTTATCGTTCTTGAAGGGTTTTGCTCTTTGATCACAAATAGATTAGGAATGGAATTTTTTGTGCTGGTGGAAGCTCATTGTGGTGTAATCCTGGATTATTTTCTCCTAAAGTGATTATAAAAGTAATCATTGCTCTGAATTTGCCTTAATTAGAGCTTTTTTGCTTGGAAATTGGAATGCTTGTACAAGGGATCCTCAAAAGTCGTTTTCATCTTGTTTTCCAACCGATTGCTGTTGCCATTAAATTGGCTTTTAATACACTATTTCAAGATTCTCTCGGCCCACTCAGCAAAAACCCTTCTTTTGGCTCCTCACTTTCTGGTGAAAATCTTTATTTCTTTCACAAATTTCAGTCTGTTTTAGACACCATGAAAAGTTATGAAATTGTACTACTATAATAGGGCTACTAAATGGAAAGGTGATGCCACAGCCACAAACTACTCTTTGGGAGTGCAATTCACTCACTATCTCCACCGACACTTGATTTCCCTCACCTTCTCCTTGCCCTTCCTTCCCCCATGACTTTCTTCTTTCAAGCAAAGGTCACTTCTCACCGGTCACCCGACAACTTGTTAGGTGAGCACAAGCAATGCTTGGCCTTTTCTCAATGCAATTCCTTCTTACCTACCTAATTAAGGCAATTAGTTGTATTTGGGTTCATTGTGCAACGAATTTCATTGAAATAAGTAAATTTCGAGAACTAAACTGTTTCTAATTTAGAGATATATGAAGTATATTGGTTTGTTGGTTAAACATTTTATTTGTGATTTGTAACTTGAAAGAGTAACGCGTCACGTACAAGTCTTCGTCTTTCTACTAAGACGTTTTCATTTGGCTTTCCTTCTCTGAAAAGACATTGAATTTAGGCTACTTTCGTGTTCATGATAGCTTCAGCATATTCCCTTTTGATCCGTGAAACGTTTTTCTCTCTTTCCCTCATTTTGGTGTCTCTACCTCTTTTCAAAACCATATCAAAAACCATTATCTCTATCCAATTCAATTAGATTTCAGCTTGTCACGGCAGCCCGTGTTCTTCCCAAAGACATCCCCGCATTGGTACCTTGAAGATTTGAAAAGGAAATTTATGGGTTGTTAAGCTTACTAATTTTAGAATATGGGATTTTGTGTGGATTTTGGTCGAATATTGGTTCTCACATACTTTTTTTTCATTCCTTTTTTCTCTTTTACTTCCTATTTCTTTCTATTTTCGACGCTATCTGATTTTTTTTATTATTGCCAAGTTTGACACGCTCTCCAACTTTACCTCTAATGAGCTCCACCTTTACCAACCAAGAATTACATCTAGACTAGCATATTGGCTCAAATGATCAAGGTAGGAAGGAGGATGGCCAGTAATCCAATTTTAACAAAAAAATCCAAAATTTTTTTTTAGCATTAATTAAAAATTATAAATGCAAATAATTAAAATTTATAATTAAATGTCATTCAAATCACCTCATAATATTTTGGAAGATTTAACACGATTTAAAGCAGGCTGCAGGCCTCGTATAATTGGGCTTGAAAGTTGAAATATGACAGTCGTATAAACCAAGAATCTAACTCAAATTTACTTTACTGTAATTGAACAAGACAAACCCAATAGAGGGGTTTCAAAATTACAAACCTCAGCCCTTTAGAATCAGGAAAAGATAATTGATGTATGAATCTTTAAGTGGTAATAACGTAATTGACAATTTTTAATGCAAAACCTAAAGGACTATAAATCTTAAGGACGTTATATTCATATGTAAGCACCAAAAATTTGCATTATTATTAAACATTATCAACAGTCGTGTAATTTATAGAAACAATAAAATAATTTGTAATCCATGTATTTTGATTTGATATGATTGAAATTTTTTTTTAAATAAAAAATTAAATTAAGTTTTTTTTCTTTGGGTTCAAGTGAGGTTTTAGATAATACTATCTTGAACCGATTAGGATATATATATATATATATATATATTATTAATTTAATTATATATATTATGTTAATAAAATTTTTATGTAATACTTTAATTTTATATATTAATTTAATAAAAATATTATATTTATTATATTTATATATAATTAAAATATTATTTATATTAAAAATATTTTATGAATCATATTAAATTAAAATTATTAAAATAATTTCAATCGATTGTGATTTACAGCTATACAAATCAAATTGGATTTGAGTATAGATATTAAAAAATTAAACAAAAATTGGATCGATTGAAAACCCATCCTAATTCAATTCGTTGTAATCCTTAATAATATATTGATAATTGATATTGTACTAAAATTTTAATTTGAGGCAATAGAACTTAATTTTTGACAACCTCATAATACTGAAAGAAAAAAAAATTGATATTTGATTTCATATTCAGATGCATTCTTGATAGCAAGTTTATGCAGTGATCAATCAATTGATCATTGGCTCCTGGAAGAAGAAACTAACTAATTACTGTGCAAATTTTGGGAAAAAAAAATGTTGCAAATTTACATACTTCAAATGTCAACATCTTTCTCTCCCTCTTTTTAATTCATTTGATGCAGAAAGATTATCTTAGATCTAAATCTTGTGAATTTTAATGGTGTTTCCACTTATAAATAAATAAAAAAAATAATAACTTTAAAAAATAATTGTAATTTTGGAATTCATGCCTTTCCTCTAGGCCTACGGCAAAGTACATACTATATCTAACGAAAAATGAGATAAATTTTGTTCATGTTTCTTTTTTTTTTTTTTTTAGTTTATTTTAGTCTTTAGTTTTTAAATTATTTTATTTGTATATTTAATTTTTAAAGTGATTTCATTTTGAATTTTTTTCTTATATTAGACCGTCAACGATTAAAAAAATGTCAAGGGAATATCCAAGTTGGGTGTCACATAATTTACAAAATGAGCGAAACAATTTGAAAAAAAGATAAAATTGAAATAATTTTAAAAAATTAAGAAACTCAAGCAGAATAATTTATAGATTAAGGACTAAAATGAAATGAATATAAATATTAAAGATCATAAGTGAAGTTTTCTTAAAAGAAGTGTCATACTACGAAAAGACCAATTATTGCTTGGTTAAAAAGAAAAGATGAAAAGCGAGCACAAAGAAAGGAGAAATTGGCCTGCTACAGAGAAAAGAATACTTAAAAACATACGCAAGTTAGAATCGGAATTCAAAGTCCAAACCAGCGGACCATGGATCCTTCCTCCTACGTCCACCACCATCAGCACCACCACAACAACCACCCAAGGTATGTTCCTTTCTCTCCTCCTCTTCACCCTCCTCCGCCTCCCTCTCATCCTCCTCCCTACAAACAAAGTCCTAACAATCTCTACCCTTCCCGCCACCCGCTCCTTGCAACCCAGCTTCCGCCACAACTTAGGCCTCCGCCTCCTCCATCAACCCAACAACAACAGCAATCATACCACCCTCTCCCTGCCCCACCCCCTCCAGTCCCGCGACAGCAGCATCCTAATCATCATCCTTATAACCCTCATCATCCTCAATACACTTTCAATCCCAATTTCAATTCTAATCCTAACCCTAACAATGTTTCCCACCAAATTCACGATTTCCCTCAACGGCGCGTGCCCGAATTCGAAACCCGCCCTGATTACCGGCATGACAATCGGGTATCTAGGCCCCATACCGTTTCCAATTTGGATCGGGAGGCCCATTATCATCAGTTTGATAGGAGACCCGCCTCTCCGGGTATTGATAGGTTTAGGCATGATTTAGAGGGAAGTTCTAGGTTTAGAGATCTAGAGCTGAATCAGAGAGAAAGAGAGGAACTTGGTAGGGCTCACAGTGATCGTTGGATTTCCGATCGATCTACTAGGGATTTTGGGATTGTTACAAAGGGATTTGAATCGAATTTGAATAATTTGAAATTTTGTGATCATGAGGTTACTGAGAATGGGAGATGGGGTTCGCGTTTACATGATCAGTTAATTGATAATGGAAATAATGAGATTAATGAAAGAGATGAAATGAGGGTTTTTTCCAGAAAAATTGACTATCATCATGATTCAGAAATAGAGAGGTTTAGTGAAAGGGGAAGTGCTGGAGAGGGTAGTCATGAATTGAACCGGACTCCGAGGAGGCAAATGCAGAAAAAGAGTGCTTTCCTTAGGATTCAAAAGTTGACTCCGAATCATAGGAGTAGGGAAGATGAGAGATCACATTATTTGGGTTATTATAATGAGGGGAAAAGTGGTACTTTTAGAGGAAAAGATTTGGTCTTACCTTTGGATCATGCGATGGAAGAAAAAGAGAGAGAAGGTAGCCCTGTAGAGCTTGATGTGTCTTTCAAATCAAATTCATTGGTGGCTAAGGCAATTGTGACTCCTAGTTCTGCACTGCTTTCTGATTCCAATGTGAAGCCTAGGAATTCCAAAATTAGGAGAGTTATGGAATTTGATAAGGATTGTTCAAGCTTGCAACCTAATAGGGCCAATGAGAGTAGTGCAAAATTTGATGGTTCCACTTCTGTTGTAAATAGTGGTTTGGGTACTGAGGACTCTAAGAATTCTGAGGCAAAAGTTAAAACTTCCATTGCTGGTAATGTGCAGGATGGTATTACAAAGCCTTGTTCAAAAGGAACCAATGTTTCCCTAAGAAAGGGTAAGTTAAAAAAATCTCCTAAGGTTACTGTGATCAAGAAAAGAGAACCATTAAAGGGGAAAGGTACAGTTCCTTGTATTAGTAATATGGTTGATGATGGCGCACAAACTTGTTATGACAGAGTCAATGTTTTCGTTGGAGAGAATAGAGTGGAAGGGACTCTTAAGAGCACCGTTTCTGATAAAACTGGTGCTAGTGTTAGCAAACCATCCTCTCTTAAGGCTACCAAGAAGAAAACAATTGTGAGGAAAGTGGTGAAAAAGGTTATGAGTTCTCCCTTAAATTTGGAAAATTCAGATTCAGCAAAGAGGGGTGATCAATCTGTTAAGTCAGATACTTCTACTCACTGTCCATCTGCTGCCTCTGCAGCTGACAAGAGTGTTATACCTCTTAAAATGGAAATTGCTTCTGCTGCTGTGGGTTCAGTGCATGGCGTTTTTTCAGAGTGTTGTCCTAAAGAATCAGCTCTGCTTCCTGAAGATGAGAAAGTGAATGGAGTGTCAAAGGAAGTTGGCACTGATGTTGGTCCTGGTAGTTCAGTTGCTTCTAAGATTAAGAGAAAGAGGAACAACTCCACTCCTTTGAGTTCTTCAGGTCATGAAGAGACTAAAGTTGACCAGGGTTCTGTTAATGCTGATTCTGTCCATGGTCTGCATATCGTTTCAAATATCAAGGAGGATTGTACTGGAACAACAAATGAAAGTATTACATCTGGCCCTCTTATGGTTGAAGATGTTAACAAGCAGTTTTACCATAATGAAAGTAACATTAGTTATGGTTTATCAAGATCAGAGGACATCAAAGTCCTTGGAGATATTGTAGATATAGGTAGCTCATCTGTTGCAATGCATAGCTCCATGGGTTTAGGCTGTGGTTCATCTAACACCCAGGAGATAAATATTGCTTGTGACATTGGCAATGTGAATTCGGCTAGCAAGCAGGTTTGTGCAACTCCTGGCAGTTCAATAGTTGAGGATGGTACCTCTGGGGGATTACCTGAAGCGAATTGGTCATTAGGAAGCAACAAAATGCCCCATTTGCCATGCGCAGAGGAAATTCAAATTAATAGTGATTCCATTCATGCAGACTGCTCCAACCATAACAGAAGTACAATCTGCACTCCTGATATTGATTATGTTCATTCAGGGGGGAGCAACCATGAGATAGGTGATGGTTTGACTAAACAATCTGCTTTTTCGCTTGGGAATTCTGGCACAGAAGGAACCCCAAATGTTGTGGAATCACTAGAACACAAAGATGAATATGCAGCTAACATCCACAAGCGAAAAGTTGGGATTGGTGAGTTAGATTTGTCAAGCTCAGCATTTACTAACATTTCTATAGGATCTGCAGATTATCTGGACACAACCATCAGTACATCTGGCATAAATTCCAATCCTGCTGAAGCTATGGGTAGTGGCATTGGGTGTCTTGATGTTGGCTTACAGGATTCTAGAGATGAAGTTAGTATTTTGCATTGGAGCAGTTCAAATGTTGCCTTCCCAGAGGTAAGTGCTAGTGCAGATGGAAAGTCTCCAGAGAAGAAAAAGAGAAAAATTGCTACCTCCAGTTCTAGTGTGACAGCAACTGTAATCAGCCAGGGAGCTACTGTTTCTGATATCTTTAAATCTGTTGTACCACTACCTTCCAATTTTCCTGGTGATCTATTGCAATTGGAACAGAAAGTTAAAGCATCTAGTATGGATGGTCTTCCTACAGAGGGGATTGATTTTTTGCTTGTAAACAGTTCAGCGGTTGGACCTTCTCAGGCTGTTGGTTATTTAAGAGATGCCTCAAGGGATGATCACCCAAGCATTGGCCCTTCTTCAGCTTCTGTTGAGTCAGTTGCCCCAAGTTCCCCATGCCTTCATCCATTACAGTTGGGAGGTGAGCAGTTATCAACTGCAAGGCCAGTTTCTTCTGTAAATAACCATCAAATTGATGCTATGGATGTTGAAGGTGATGACAAGGTAAAAGTGCATGTGGATACTGCAGAAGACCAAAAAATTATTTCTAGTGAGGTAACTCAATGCAGAATTACTCCAGAACATAAGTCTGTCAGCTTAGATGAGAGTTCACGTAGCACAGATGTGGAAGATGATAATCATCTTCCTCTGAACAATGATTTACCTTCTGCATCAAACTATTTGGTTTTTGGAGTTGGTGCTAATGAAGTTTCTGTTACCAACTCCAATGATGAAGCAATGCGTGCACCTGATATACTATCTGATATGGGTTCTATCAATAACCATGATAGCCTATTTTTAAGCACATCAACACCTTTCTGCCAAAAATCAGAAGAGAAGGCTTATGGTGATGAAAGACTTTCAGATGATAAGCCTATGATTGAAGGTGCTTGCAACTCATCTGCCATTGTGTCATATTCACAGCATAGCAAAACTATTTTGAAGTCACATGATTTAATTCAAACCAATCAATCAGTTGCTGGGAAGGCAGGATTGTTGCCATCACATGATTCCAAAAATACTGATTCCCCCAATTTCATAAGTGGAGAAACACATGGTAGGAAAAACCAACTTACTCATGTTGTTCCCAAGAGTTATCCTACCCGCTCATCATTTGTTTTTTCTGCATCCAAAAATGCAACATCTTCTACCAAGATCACAAAACCTCGAACATGGCAACGAACCAATAATTCTTCTGCTACTTTTCTATCAGGAAATAAGCCTTCCTTAAGTGCCAATCCTTTGCAAAGGCAGATGCCAAAAAAGTCTGCATATTTTCAAAGTACTTCTTACATTCGTAAAGGTAACAGTCTTGTTAGAAAACCTGTTTCAATTCCTGCTCTTCCCCAAAATTCTCATTCTTTGGGTTCATCCGTTTACCGGCTGAACTCTGGGGTTGTAGATGAAGTGAAGAATGGCACAGGACCCAACAGTAGAGCTGATGCTGTTGACTTGAGAACAGGAGGTGCACATACCTCTTTTGAAAGGCCCACAACACCCCCCTTATCCAGTGTCACCAAAGTACCAAATTGTACTTCAAACTCATCAGGAGAGTGTGCATCTTCCCCATTAGCAGAGCCTTGTATTAGTGATTGCTGTGAAGCTACAACAGATCATCCAAGTTGTCTGGAAATTAATGATGTGCTCAATTCCCCTGAGGAGAGACTGAAGACTTCTGAATCTCTAAATCGAAATGGTTCGGTTAACACTTTGGAACACTGGACCGAGGAAAATTATGATGACTTGGTTCCTTCAGATGCAAAGAGGGTAACATATTTAAAGCCAAAATCAAATCAATTGGTTGCAACTTCAGATTGTGGTAGTACCTCTATTCTCAATGCTGATAAGAACCAACCCTTTTCTGCTCCCTCTGATGGCTACTACAAGAAAAGCAAAAACCAGCTACTTAGGACTGCCCTTGAGAGTCACATCAAGCAGGCAGTTTCCATGTCTAATGACAAATCCAACTCAGTGGGACACATGGCTGCTCAGGTTATTTCCAGTAGAACTTTTGGTAAGAGGCGATCTAATAAAGGTATTCATTCATGAATTTTCTGTAAGCAGAATCTTTTATTTTTCGTATTCAGCATTTTTTTTGTTTCACGCACATTGAGCACCAAAAGTACTACATTCATAATTGTGCATTTAGACATTGCTTGTCTTTTATGACTTATTCTCTTAATTTTTATCCATGAAGCGTTAAAATGGCATGTGTTCTTCCATCTTTATGCTCCTCTTTGTCTCTGTTGGCTATAATATTTATGTCTATTTTCTGCAATTGTAGGTTGTTTTCCATGCAGGAGTCATATAGGACTGTTGCTAGCCATGTCTTTAGACAAATGACTATTTGTTGGAATTTTATACACTAAAATATTGAGAGATGGCTGCCTGCAAACTATATGTCTAACCAGAATTTTATGCTATTTTTCAGTGTTATTTTTCTTGCACCCAATTTGCCTCCTTTCATCAATTCTAGATGCATATATATATATATATATATATATATATCAAATTTTAGTTGCCCACCCCTCCCTACCAAGTTTTTTCCTCAGTGACAGAATGGTGTAGAGAAGCTAGCTTTATTAGTTAAGGACCTATGTTGCCTCTTCTCACTTGTCAAGTCTCAAGTACATACTTGATACTTCTATCAATTATGACCAAACTTTTTAAATCATTTTGTATTACATTATGATTATTATTTGTATTTTTTGGCCATCTCTAAGTGGATGAATCTAGAAATTGTTTGAAGCAGGTTTCATTACTTTGTTTCGGCGTGATTATTAGTTAGGGGAAAGCTTAAATGATTACTCTTTTTGCAGTTGTAGCAAAGACAAATAAACCTTCCAAATTCTCTCTGGTCTGGACTCTGCATGGTGCAAGGCTATCAAATAATCCGCAACTGTTTCCCTGGAAAAGAATGACATACAAAAGAAGCTTTAAGTTAAACTCAGTTTCTTCCTGCAATAGTTCTTTATCTACAATTGGGTATAATTTTTATTTCAGTAGCTTCTTGTTTTAAACATGCACCTGTGTGTGATGTCCAAGAAAATAGTAAATTACTTTTTCTTTTGCAGTCAGAAAATGCTGCTATTGAGAAAGAGAAATACTGTTTATACCAGGTCAATGAATGGATTTTCAATTCGGAAATCAAAGGTGTTAAGTGTTGGTGGTTCTAGTTTGAAATGGTCAAAATCTATTGAAAGGCGTTCAAGAAAAGCTAATGAGGTAGGGTTTTTCATGTACTAGTGGACTGAGTTCTTATGTCTTTTATATACACATCAAAACTGCATTGATGATAGAATTATGGGTTAAAATGGCTTTTTTGTTCTTAAAATTCTGTTACTGTTTAATAGGAAGCTACACTAGCAGTTGCTGAATCCGAAAGAAAGATAAGAGAAGGAAATGTAAGTGTTTCTGGGAGAGGCAAAGGAAGTCACTCTTCACGTAAGGTTGTTCATGGTACAGAGCTTCATCCAGGTAGGTCAATTAACAATCTTGGTCTGTGACATTATGAAAAGCTTATTTTCGGACTTTCTGAAGTAATGGCTTTCTATCTAATGTGCATGATGTATGGTTTTGAAAGGATGCTTCAATGATTTGTTTCTTGTAAATATTTGATACTGTAGGAGAACGCATATTCCGCATTGGTTCAGTGCGCTACAAAATGGATTCTTCAAGGCATTCCCTTCAGAGGATAACAGGTGCTCCACTCTTGATTTATCACATTGTGTTTTTTAATTTCCTTTTCAACACCCAACAGTTTGTCCGGAACTAAACCGAATAGAAATTGAATGTATAATGGCAGATGATATTGTTAAACCATTGTTTCCTACTTCAATGCAACTTTCTGTTTCTTGTGGCGTGTTTGTGTTTGCATAAATGAAAGATTTCATGGATGTTTTTACAAAACTCTTTCATCTGGGTTCCGACAAGTTGTTTACTTTGGAAGGGATGTAAAGGAAGAGGTTGAAGGTAAATTGTCTAATGTGCGAGTTTATATTTTACAACTTTGGGAAGCACAGTTGCTTCTAATGCCTCAGAAGCTAAGTTTTATGCTGCCCCTCTTTTATTTCCAGCGCTGCTTAATTAATCTAAAACTCTAGCTTGGTAGAAGATCAATAAAAGTGCTATGTTTTTAAAATGAAAGTTAAAGTGCTATGTTTTTAAAATGAAAGTTATGTATGCTTTTCACTGATTTTTAAATTATGAGAAAGAGATGGTTTGTATTGGGTTTGTTGATACCATAAATGAAGAAACATCAGATAATTTGCTGACCACCTTGATGGAATGTGACCACATTCTTGTGGAGCTAGGCTTGGGTATTGCTGAATTAAAGAGCCTTGTTGGGCTGTCAGACCTGTTAATGTTCCCCCACACGGGAATCATAATTTTTTTTTTTTAGAAATTTTGATAGAGAAACACACAAGATTGTGATGTAATTAACTTATCTCTATTAGTTTCTTATCAGCACCTAGTATCAATGTTGATGCTTTTGATGTCCTTTTTCCTTTTATATACAAAGTTTTTGTAATGCTCTCCTAACTTTACGTACTTTTCTTTGTAGATGGTGAGTCATCATGCTCTGCTGGTCACCTATTAGAAAACAGTACCAAAAAATCTTATGTCCCAAGGAGATTAGTGATCGGGAATGATGAGTATGTTAATGTTACCATATCATAAAATGTAAATTTGACGGAATTACCTACCATATATAAAATTAAAATAAACTCCAACATCTCCAGGTATGTTCGACTTGGCAATGGTAACCAGCTTGTTAGAGATCCAAAGAGGTGGACTCGTGTTTTGGCAAGCGAGAAAGTTCGTTGGAGTTTGCACACTGCTAGGTTACGATTGGTTAAAAAGCGGAAGTATTGTCAATTTTTCACAAGATTTGGAAAATGCAACAAAGATGATGGGAAGTGTCCTTATATTCATGATCCCTCCAAAATTGCTGTATGCACAAAATTTCTCAAGGGTCTTTGTTCAAATCCCAACTGCAAATTGACTCATAAGGTTCATCACTTATTTGGTTGATTGGACGTTTTGCTGGAGATTGACTTATATGGTTAACATCTGACCTTTGATTGGATTTTTGTGCAGGTCATTCCGGAACGAATGCCTGATTGTTCATATTTTTTGCAAGGTGTTCTTTTTTCTAGATTGTGCTATTCTATTTTCTAATTTTATGGATGCATAATTCTGACAAATTTACTGGCAGGTTTATGCACAAATGAAAATTGTTCTTATAGACATGTACATGTGAATCCAAATGCCTCTACTTGCGAAGGATTCCTTAGGGGCTATTGTGCTGATGGTAACGAGGTAGTTCCTTATAATCTTGAAAATACTATTTTAGCTGATCGGTTTGCATTTTATGCCACGCCCTTGTTTAAGATCACGTTATAGAGATATGTTTGTCTTGCATTTGATCGGTTGGTTCACTCTGGTCTTACTAATTAATAGTAGAATATTGTTGAAACTGACTTTTAAGAAATAATGTAACATTTTATTCCCAACTTTTGAAAAGAAAAGAAAATCTTTCAATTTCTTATACTCTCTGACCTGACATCTTAATTTCTGCAACGTTCAGAACCAGATTTTTTTACTGTTGATCTGATATTTACTTCGATTCTGTTCACGTGTATTTTTTCTAAAAAATGATGACATTACTTGAACAGTTTCATGGTATACTGTTTTCATTGCATTTTTTTTTCTTTGGTATTGATTTACTTGAATACTTTTGGAAATTACCTGAATAAACAGTTATAATGATGATTATATATTCAACATGTCTAAACTATTATTTAAAAAAAACTATATATCCCCCCCTCTTCCTAGCAAAAAGTTCTGGTTGTGCAAGTAATCATGATCGTCGGTTGTTTTAGATTTTCTGTAAGCTACTCTCTTCTCTAATGCACACACATTCGAAATTAATATTGAATAAGTGAAATGGAATGTATCTCTGCTCAGTGTCGGAAGAAGCACAGCTATGTCTGTCCCAATTTTGAAGCAACAGGGTCTTGCTCTCAAGGATCTAAATGCAAGCTTCACCACCCGAAATACCGGAGCAAGGGAAAGAAAATAAAACGGTCAACGGAACAAAAAAATGCTCGTGGGCGTTACTTTGGTATTGACATTTTGGAGCCCAAAAGAATGGTTTCTGAAAGACACGAGGCATTAGATCATGATGACATTTTCTTTGATGGGAAATTATCTGATTACATTGGCCTTGATGTTAGTGATGATGAAGCTGGGGAGCTTAATCATGTGATGTTTGATCAAACAACCTTTGGTGACAATGATTCCTCAGATTTACAATTAGATGATCTTGATGAGTTAATCAAACCTGTTGGAATAATGAACTGAGTGTAAGATGATAGGATCATTTCTGGTTAGCGAAGCTTAAAGCGTTGATAATGTGGCCTCAATGGAGGAATTGAATATGCTGTATAGAGGGTGAGCTACTTTTACTTCTTTTTAATCTTTTTTATAACGTGTAAAATTTCCCTTTTTACTGGGTACCATTTGTCGAATGTAACTTGTAACAGAACAGGAATTTAGAAATGAAATAAAAAATAACAGAAGTTTTCTGATTATTCGAGCCTAGTAAATATACTTTTGTTCTGATTTTTACCATTTTCACCTTTGTGCAAATTCCAAAATTAGCGGTTTCCTTTGGCTTGAACATTGTAGTTTTCGCTACCGCTGATTCCGTGAAATTTTCAGCTGATTATCCAATCGATTGGTGGCAATTTTCTTTGTTTCTCCAACACATTGTCATGCTCAACCCAACCACCCGATAAAAACAAAAAGCCTTATCCACAAAAACCAATGAATCAAATTTTACAAGCCTAACATTAATTTAATAAAAACAGGGGTCCTTAAAAAGCAATTTCTAAATAAAAACACATAAAAAGAAGTATTGAGAATGTTGAGAGTAAAATCCAGAGAGTTCAGATTTCAATCATGGCTGCAACTTCCTCTTACATGGCTTGCACTAAATTCTCCATGTTGGATCGGGGTGGAGGGCAAAAAGACTTAAGAAAGAGAACGGTTCTTTCAGTTTCAGTTCAACAGCAGGCTGAAGTAGGTGAAGCAGAAGAAGCAAAAGTGCAACAGGAGCAAGAAAAGGTTAGATGGATCTGTTCAAAAATGAAAATGTAATCTCAAAGTTCCTTTCTGATTCCATTAATTGAAGGTTAGATAGATCATGAATAGCAGCCTTTTCATTTCTTTAGCATTATGACGTTCTGCTATGAAGAGAATTAATTAATGTATGATATGGAAGCAGGGTGCACCATTGACAGATTACACACTTCGTTTGTTTGGTTCAGACATAGAGCACTACATCAGGAAGCTACTCTATGATGGAGAAATAAAATAAAACATGAATGCCAAGGTACTGAACTTCAGCATGGGGAAGCCCCGCATTCTATTCAATAATTACGATGGCCAGTTTCAAGATGTACAATTATAGGATTCTCACAAAATGGCTTGGCTTGCAAAAGACCACAAACAGATTGCCCTAGTTTTTAAGTAGTATCAGTTCAAAACAATGCATCAAGCGCAAAATATTTGGCCACCAAAGCCAACATCTTTGACAGATACATCCATTAATTGCCAAAGTCTTCGCAGGTGAGGTTATATACTGCTCAATGCTACAGCTGCTTCTGTCAACATTTGCTTGCTTTGCATTATTGAGATACATTCAGTGCTCTGAATGTCAAAGTGAATATTGATCTCAATTCAGATAAAATCTCCAGTCATCCCAAAGCATTCAAATCATACTAAGAGTCCAACCAAGGCTGAAATGCAGCTTCATGAGCAGTATTCTCACACAAAATACACAACTATATATTTAGATTTGTTTTTTTTTTTAACGAAGGATGATGCAGCTTATAGATAGGAAAATAGGTTACAGTTACTGGATTCAAATCTAGAAATGTTGAATGCCACATTTTAAGAATGATTGCATGAACCAATGAAATTAAACCTTAAATATTTACAAGCTTTGCTAAAAGAGAAAGTAGTTTTTAAAAACACCAATTTATTCCATTTGCACCAAGCAACCATGTGTATATCATAGGTGTCAAAATCTCTGCTAATATGCATTAATGCTAAATGAGAAAAAAAAGTTTCAATTTCATAAATGTCTTCAAAAAAAAAAAAAAACTATGGCAATGCACTTAAAGCCAGTCTATGTCTATGTTAATTAGTGTTTCATAGACATACTATTAAAGTGTATGTTGCTCTGTAGCTAGGTGATTCCAATTTATCTAAGAACATAATTTTTTTTTTATCTTAATTCAAGACAAACTTTAAAATTAGGATGAAATTGCATTATGTCAAATTTAAAGTTTAGTTTAATTAATTTATATAATCATCTTTAAAAAATTTCATTTAGTTGATTTAAAATTTAAATTTTAATACTACGATTTTTTTATCCAAAACTATGGCTTTTTTTTACAAGAAAATGCATTATGCCCTTTATTATTTTATCCTTATTATATTTGGCCATCTCTTCTATAATAAATATAAAGTAATAAATAAAGTTAAAGGGTCAAAAATATCTTTAAAATTATAATTTAATAATTATTTAAATTTTTAATATTTTATTGTAATAAATTAAGCTCTAAATCTTTTATTTCAACTGAATTGAACCTTTAAATGAACCAAATTGAATTTTTAAAATATCTTAGAGAGAAACAAAGAAAATAAAGAAGGAAAAAGAAAAAAATATTTTATTTAATTTTCTCGTATTTTAAGTAAATCACATAACAAATTTTTATATATGTAATTTGATATCACATAAAATTTTATTTTAATTGGTAAAAATTAATGGTATTAACTTTTTTTTATCAAAGAATATAAATTGAATGTAAATAAATATTGAAAAAAATTGATTTATTGTAATAAAAAAAAGAATTTGGATGATTTTTAATTATAATTTAGAGATTTTTTATTCATTTCAGCCGTAAATAAATAATGCTGAAAATAAAATGGAAAGGCTCTGGAAGGAGAATGTGCTTTGAGATTGAGAAGCATATACCTATATTCTTTTTCTTTTCTTTTTTTTTTTTTAATTTGATTAAAGATTGGATTTTTTTTTTCTTTTTTTTTCTTTTTAAGTAACAAAAGTTTAGCTTTGGTTTCAAAAAACAAAGCTATTTTCTGAAAAAAAAAAAAAAGAATGGAATTGTGTTTGATAATTGAAAATGAAAATAAATTTTTAAAAAATAAAAATAAAAATGGATTGAGATATAAAAACAAGAAAAATATGTTTTTAATTATAAAAATAAAGAACGTAAATTTTTTTCCTTATATTTTACAAGTTATCATATTTGAACATTTTTTAATATCATTAATTAATAAAAATATTATATTTATTATTAGATGACATTAATAATAATATCATTAAATAATTTATTTATTTTCTTATTTTTATATTTTTAGAAAATAATTTTTATTTTAACTTATCAAATACATTTTAAAAAAATAAAAACTGAAAATTATTTTCTAAAAAATAAAAATAAAAAATAAAAACAAAAATTATTTTCTCAATTTTGTCTGCCACTACATGTCACATGCCTTTTTATTTTAATAACTTTTATGATTCCCCCAATAAAAAGTACAAAACAAAAAGTTTAAAACTAAGAAAAAATGGAATTTGTTTTTTGAAAAACCCTAATATCTCTTACTTTGCAGATTGCCAGTTAAGGGTCAAATTTTATTGGCGTATTTTATTTATAATTTTTTTATAATTATTGAATTCTAATATAAAATTATATAAAAATTTATCATTTAAAAATATAAATTTTACATAATTTTTTTTGAATTCTATAAAATATTAAATTATATTATAATAATTATATATGATATTCTCTCAAATTTTATAACATTTGTAAAAGGAATAACCTAAAACTTAACATACACTATTAATATTTTTTCTTTCTTTCTTCGTCAAATGACATTGATTATGATTAAAAAAATAATTCTTTTTACCTCTTAGTACTAAAAAGCCTTGATTAAAAAGGCTATCCTACTTTTAAACTTTTTTTCGGCAATAGATTAGAAAAAAATAATTTTGAAAATCAAAGTTTAATTCAAATAATTCACTCTTTTTTTTTTAAATGGATTCTCCTTTCATTTTCATTTTTTTTTTAATTTTTGGTATATGATTAAATGATGAATTGATGATGAAAATTAAAAGAAATGGAAAATTAGTTGGCAGGCCATCCCGTGCAATTGTAGGGGTGGGCCCAAATAAACTAACGGTTGGTGACTAGTAATATCGGGCAATCGGTGACAATCATTCAACGCGACATTCTCTCTAATCTGCTTCTCAGTTCTTTCTCTCTCCTCCACTTCACAATCACATGATAAGTTCCGTTTTGGACTCTTATTTACGCAAGATTCTCCTCAACCTTCTTCTGCATTCTTTTATTTATTCCTTTTCATTTTTATTCGAGAAAAACAATACTGGCGATAATGGCTCCGGGGACGGCTGATTCAGCGGCGGAGATTCTCTCCAGCCTCAATCTCAATGCCGCCGATTGGCCTCCTAATCTTGTCAAGAATCTCCACCTGCTTTCTCCGGATCAGGTCTTGCATGTCCCAAATCCCGTACCTTTTTTTTAAAAAAATTTAAATTACGTATATATACGTATAAATATACTAGTATGTGAATTATGTACTCTCTTTTTGTTGTTTTGGCAGATTGAATTGGCAAATATGTTGTTGGAGATGGGGCAGAGCCATATTTTTCAGCATTGGGCAGAGCCTGGCGTCGAGGACGACCAAAAGAAAGCGTTTTTCGCTCAGGTTTCTTTTTTTTTTTTTTAAAGCTATGGAATTTTACAGTATTCTACTATGGTTTAAAAAAATTTTTAAACATCAAAAGTGGATTTTTATTTGTTTTTGCTAAATGCAATAAAATTATTAGGAATTAAAAGAAAATTTAAGGGCATATTTTTCTTTGGCTCTGCTGTTTTAGATATGTTTGAATTGTGTTGAAGTTATTTTTAGTATTATATCTTAGAGTTTTATGTATTGAACTTTTTTTTTTTTTATAGGTGGCTAAGCTAAATTCAAGCTATCCTGGGGGTTTGGCCTCGTATATTAAAACTGCTAGGAAGCTCTTAGCGGACTCTAAAGCAGGGAAGAACCCATATGATGGCTTCACACCTTCGGTAACGAAATTAGTCTTTCACTTTGAAACTTCAAATATACAATTTCTTATGATGTAATCAATATCCAATTGTCTTACCCTTGCGTGATTCGAATTAATGCAAATTAATCACATTAATATCAAGTTTTCTCTACCCCCTGTTATGTCCTTCTCTCCGCTGTCTTCTATGCAACTGTCCTAAATGCAGTATTTTTTCTTTTTCAGGTTCCAAAGGGAGAAATTCTCTCTTTTGGCGATGATAATTTCATCAAATTTGAGGAGGCAGGAGTCAAAGAAGCCCAATACGCTGCATTTGTTCTTGTTGCAGGTGGGCTTGGTGAACGTCTTGGATACAATGGAATTAAGGTAGATAACCGATAGACTGACAGTAAATATGTAGAAAATTTAATGAATAATTATCTTTTATTATTATTATTATTTTTAGGATGAAGGAGTACATCAAATAAATAGGAACAGTGAAGTTCTTTATTAGGAAACAACTTATATGAAACAGAAAAACAAAAATAATAAAAGGAGGGAGAAACAAATCTCGAAAAACTTGATAATCAGAATAATTAACTAAATCAGAAGAATAAATGAGAAATATTCTCAAAATAAATTAGGAAATCAAGTTGGACTAATGTAGGAGAATCAGATTTCTATACACCCCTCATGCTGGGATATGAATATTAATCATACCCAGCTTGGATTTCAATCCATCAAAGATGCCTCTAGGAAGAGCTTTGGTCAGAATATCTACAATTTGAGGACTTGTAGGGATATAGGCCAGTTTGATCGATCTATTTTCTATCTTTTCCTTTATGAAATGTCGATCCAGTTCTATGTGCTTGGTCCTATCATGATAAATAGGATTCTTGGCAATATTTATAGTAGCCTTATTGTCACAAAACAGTGTCATATATGTCACAGTCTTAACTTTTAATCCTCCAAGTAACCTTATCAGCCAAATTCCTTCACAAATACCATGGGACATTGGTCTAAACTCATTCTCAGTAGTGCTCCTAGCCACAACAGATTGCTTTTTACTTCTCCAAGTGACCAAATTACCCTAAACATAAGTGCAATATCCCGTAGTGGACCTGTTATCTGTTACTGATCCAGCCTAATCAGCATCTATATATACCTCGACTACCTTGTTCATTGACTTCTTAAAGTATAGACCTTCATCGGGACTCTTCCTTAATTATTGTAGGATGTGATGAACAACCTTGAGGTGCTCCTTGGTTGGATTATCTATGTATCTATTCACCATCCCTACTTTAAACCCAACATCAGGTCGTGTGTGGGAGAAGTAAATAAGCTTCCCAACTAGTCTTTGGTATCGCCTTTTGTCTGTGAGAGAGCTTCCATCTTCTCTTACAATTTTATTAGTTGAGTCCATGGGTGTATCAATAGGTTTGCATGCAATCATGCCGGTTTCTTTGAGTAGATCAAGTACATACTTATTCCTTTCTTAGACTGAGCTATTTCCATCCCAAAAAAATATTTAAGGAACCCCAAGTCCTTATTTCAAACTCCTTTGCAAGAAGTTTCTTCAAATCATCTATTCCTTCCTTGTGGTCTCTGGTGATTATGATATCATCAACATAAACAATAAGAATGACTCTTTTTCATTTATTAGTGAACTTAACAAACATAGTATGATCATAATGACATTGAAGGAATTCATACCTCTTCACTGCCTTGGTCAACCGTTCAAACCAAGCTCGAGGAGACTATTTAAGGGCATACTAAAACTTTTGGAGTTTGCACACTTTGCCCATATTATCTTGCCTTTTGAAACCAGGGGGAATTTTCATGTAAACATCCTCCTCCAAGTCACCATTTAAGAATGCATTCTTGATGTCAAGTTGGTGGAGAGGCCAATCCAAGTTGGCTGCTAGTGACAATAAAACTCTAATTGAATTGAGTTTGGCTACTAGGGCAAATGTCTCCTCATAGTCTATCCCATAGGATTGAGTGAACCCTTTGCAAGAAGTCTAGCTTTGAACCTGTTTATACTTCCATCTGCATTGTGCTTTATTGTGAAGATCCACTTACATCCAACCAGTTTTTTCCTTTAGGCAAATCTAAAATTTTCCATGTCCCATTCTTCTCTAGTGCATTGATTTCTTCAAGAACCACTGCCTTCCAATCTGATTCATTGAGGGCTTCCTGAATATTTTTTCGAATTTGCACATTGTCTATGTTAGTAGTAAATGCTCGAAAGTTTGGATTTAACCTTTCATATAAGATGTACTTGCAGATAGGGTAACGGGTGCATGATTTCACACTTTTTCTTGATGAAGTAGGAATGTCAAGGTCACCAGCTAGCTCATACGTTTCTATTTCAGATTCAATGGGGACATTACCTGTGTTAGTTTTAGGTTCTTAGAGACTCAGATCAGGTTGATTTTTAGTGCTTAGCTGTGTACAGTTCACTTCTTCCTGCATTTTTTTCTTCCTTGAGAAGACTATCAGTTCTTTTATTTTTTCTTGCATAACCTTAAGGTTTGAAGAGTCAAAAATTGTTTGAACAGGTTGGGTTTTGGAATCTGTATGGCTGATAGGTTGGATAGGTTGAGAATCTGATTGTAAAGGGACTAGTTGAGAATATGGTTTTGAAGGGGCTGGTTGGGAAATTGGAGGGGCTAGTTGGGAAGTTGGCAAGTCAACAGCTAAGAATTGACGTTCCTAAGTAGTATTCTCCCCTTAAATATCATTCTTGCTGTAGTATGGAAGATTCTCAAAGAATGTGACATCCATAAAGCTATAGAATTTTTTTATGATGGGTGAGTAACACTTATAGCCCTTTTGGTTTGGGGAATAACCAAGGAAGATGCATTTTAAGGCTTTGGGATCAAGTTTGCTATGGTTTTGTTGGCTAATATGAACAAATGCAATGCAGCCAAAGAGTTTGATAGGAATGGAAGAGATTAATCAAGTTTGTGGGTAAGAAGTAAGGAGAGTTTGACAAGGTGTTTTAAAGCCAAGAACTCGAGAAGGCATTCAGTTAACCAAATAAGTTGCAGTGATGATGACTTCTCCCTAAAAATGTTTAGGCACATTGGAAGTCAACAAGAGGGATCTAGTCATTTCTATCAAATGTCTGCTTTTGCATTCGGCAATCCTGTTTTGCTGTGGAGTGTCAACACAGGAGCTTTGATGGATAATGCCATGATTGGTGAGGTAAGGGCCAAGAATAGAGTTGAAGTATTCCCTTCCATTGTCAGTTTTTGGCTTGGAATTTGGTTTGTATCATATTATTAAAGTTTTGAAAGATTTGGCCAATCTCGGATTTTTCTTTCATAAGGAATAGCCAAGGGAGTCGAGTATGATCATCAATGAATGTAACAAACCACCTAGAATCTGTGATATTGTTAAATCTTGATAGTCCCCAAATTCCACTGTGAAGAAAAAGGCTGAGATGATTTATAGGAAATGCAAGGGTAGGTATTTTGAATGTGCTTGAAAAGTTGACAAATTTTACATTGAAAATCTTTAGAGATTTTATTGAATAATGAGGGAAATAGCCTTTTTCAATACAAAATATTTGGATATCCTAGTCTATAGTGCCATAACATGATAAGATCATCCTTACTAGTACTAGAGACTAAGGTTGTACAAGAGTTTTATGGTCTCTCAATTCCATCATCTAGAAGAAGGTAGAGCTCTGCACACATCCTAGCACTACCAATAATCCTCCCTGAGCCCAGTTTTTGAAATTCACACAAGTGGGGAAAAAATTTAGTGACACAACATCTATCCTTCGTAAGCTTACTGATGGAAAGTAGGTTACAGCTTAAATTAGGGGCATAGAGAACAGAGTCAAGTGTTATGTCTTTTGAAATACAATAGAACTTGTTCCTGCCACCTTTGAAAGAGAGCCATCAGCAATTTTTATAGCAAAACTATCACAGAAAGGTCTATATGTGTTGAATAAGGATGCATATCTAGTCATGTGATCTGATGCTCCTGAATCAACAATCCAAGATTGTGTATTTCCCCATAGAACACTTAAAACGTTTAGGAAATTACCATTTGTGCTAGGAAACTAGTTCCAAAGGTTGCAAACTTTTTTTGAAAGGTTTGTTGGAGCATCACTTTTTTGTGACTTTCCTTATGCTATACCTCTGCAAAAGAAGAGTTCTCACCCCTGCTAACCATAATGGAAACTCGTGTGGCTACGGTCTAATAGCTCAGGCCGACTTACTTTGATACCATATAAAAAGCTTAAACGGTAATTGTCCTTTTTTTTCTTCTTATTATTTTTAGAATGAAGGAGCACATCAGATAAATAGGAACAGTGAAGTTCCTTATTAGGAAACAACTTACATGAAACAGAGAAGGAAGCAGAAACAAATCCCTAAAAACTTGACAATTAGAATAATTAACTAAATTAGAAGAATAAATAAGAAATATTCCCAAAATAAACTAGGAAATCAAGCTACAGTAATGTAGGAGAATCAGATCTACACTTTTGTTGAAGGATCAGATTTCTACAAAATATTTTGTTTATGCTGTTAATTTCAATTATTTGGTTTCACAAAAGGTACTCGACACTATGTAGTCTAAATATATTTGATAGATACTTTTGTGTAATTGTTGGTACCCCTGGCTCATGCGCTTGTCTGCACTAGATAGTGCATAGATGCGTTTTCCTTTTCTAAAGAGGGTTGATCACATATTTGATGTTGTACTGATTAAACCAGTTCCAACACCCTTGACTAGTTTTGCTCCCTCAAAAAAAATATTTGACTATCTACTTTTTACACCTTGCAGGTGGCACTTCCAGCAGAGACCACGACTGGAACATGTTTCTTACAACTCTACATTGAGTCTGTTCTGGCTCTTCAGGAAGCTAGCTGTAGGCTTACACAAGGTTTGTATTGCATCTCATTTGTTAGGAGGCCTTCAACATCATAAAGCCTTTTTAAATATTGCACCTCGACATGATCAAGAAAGATAAGTTTGTACTTCAGTGTTATGAATGGCTGCAGCCAATGGAAGTTACTGAGGAGTTCAGAGTAGTCTATTTCGCTTGCTGAAATGTATGAACAATTGTTTAGTGCACTAACCATGGAAAGCAAGCCTGTTGGATAAACTTAGGTTTAAATTATAGTGATCATGGAAAAGCCACTCTCAAAGAAGTCAAGAACACTTTAGCTGTAAATTGGCCATCCTTTATATATGGAAAATTGATAGAATGAACTAGTCAAAACTTTAATAAGCTTATCCAGCTCTCACTTGCAATAGTTCCTCTGGATAAAAAGCCACAATATATATCTATTTGAAAAATCTTTATGTAATGAGCTAGGTGCAATTATCTAAGTCCTTGAGCCTATTAAATACTTTGTAAACAACATCCCTAGTCCCGCAAGCTGAAGCAGTTCATATTTTTACATGAAACATGTCAATGTATTTTCCTCAATAAGTCAAAAAAAATTATTTAACATCCAATCGTCTTTAGAAAAATATTGCATTGTTTGTTGTGTTTTATAACTAATTAGCTCTCTTTATCTCTTAAGTTAATTGCTTTCTCTCTCATTCTCTCTGTCTAAATTTTAGGCACATGTCAAAAGGATATTCCTTTTGTTATCATGACATCGGATGACACACATATCCGTACATTGGACCTTTTGGAATCAAATTCTTATTTCGGGATGAAACCTACACAAGTTAAACTGCTTAAGCAGGTGTGTAATCACTCATTGATGTGCTGGTTAAAGCTGTTTTAAGTTTCTTTACATCAAGTTTCATATTTACTTGCAGGAAAAAGTTGCATGCTTAGATGATAATGATGCTAGGCTTGCTTTGGACCCTCATAACAAATACAAAATTCAGGTAACCATCATAAACACTGTATACCAAGCTATATTTATATTTTAGTTGATAAAACCTTTAGGTTCTTTCCTTAACTCTTCTCTGATCTTGTTAGACAAAACCTCATGGCCATGGTGATGTGCATTCACTTCTTCATTCTAGTGGCCTTCTAAACGTATGGTATGTCTCAAATGCTTACATTGCTTCTAAAATCTGGAATCTGAAATTTCTTTTCATGCCTTTGCAAGTACCCTTTATGTTTATATGTTGCCTCTTGTCATAAACTTATTTCTTTATTGCACAGAATCTCCTTGTATGAATGATATTGGTGTTTGCTCCTGCCTTTGCCTCACTTTGAGGTAGCAAGACACTAAAATTTTAGTTTCTAAACCACAGTAGGCTATAACATTGACTCAAACTGACAACAGCCGTGTGCATAAGCTAGTAATCTAGTTACCATATACTTAAAAGTAATCCATTTTCTAACTCTCCTTGATCTTAATTTTATCAACATATATATATACATTGCATAAAAAAGTCAAATGTCATCCTTTGAAAATTGGTGTAATGGATAACTTTTTATATTTTACATCATACTTTTGTCATCACTTTTTGCTAGGCATGATGCTGGTTTCAGATGGGTTCTCTTTTTCCAAGACACAAATGGACTTCTGTTCAAGGTTAACAGCTAAAATTTCCAACATTTCATCTATAGTTTTCTTATGTAACAGCTCAAGACTGGTTATAAATAAAAGTTTATACTATTTCAATGTAGGCTATTCCAGCATCACTGGGAGTCAGTGCTACTAAACAATACCATGTCAACTCTCTTGCTGTTCAACGAAAAGCGAAAGAAGCCATTGGAGGAATTACCAGACTCACTCATAGTGATGGTACTTGTACATGAAACTCATTTAATTCTTAGAAGCTAGAGCTGCCAATAGCGTGTGAGTGTATTTGCTTATAAACTTATATCTCTAGGGATGTTGACATTTGACTAAAAGATGGTGCTCGGTTCACTAATTTCTGATTTCTCATATATATATATTTATATATATATATATAATAACTATGCTATAGTAGGTGTTTTAGGCATCAAAGGCCCTATGATTTATGCTTAACTATTAGTACCACACAATGAAATTGACTTCAGGGAGATCGATGGTGATCAATGTGGAATACAATCAGCTTGATCCTCTGCTTAGAGCCACTGGACATCCTGATGGAGATGTTAATTGTGAGACTGGTTATTCTCCTTTCCCAGGAAATATAAACCAAGTAATTTTTCTGGCTCAAAATCATTATTTAGATGTTAATTTCTAGGGAGATTTCTAGTGTGATTAATAACGAACATAAGACTTAAGAAGCTTTATCAGATTTCCAGTTTTGATTATAGTGTGGATTCTTTCCTCGTGTAATCAATATGGTTAGAAGTACCAAAAATTCAAAGTTTTTTCACCTACTGAATCTGCCATTGTCATCATGATGTCATTTATGAAACTTAATCTGAGTTTTTTGTAGTCTAATATCTCATCCATATTTGGGAACTGCTCCATCCTTTGTCTAATTGCTCTCCCCCTCCTGTAAATTTTTGTTCTGTTTTACAGCTTATTTTGGAGCTTGGTCCATACATTGTGGAGCTGAGAAAAACAGGAGGTGCCATAAAGGAATTTGTTAACCCCAAGTAATTCTTCTTTTTCTTTTTTTGCTAATTATGATTGAAACGTGTTAGTGTTCTGCTTTATGGATGACTTTACAACTTGTTGCTTATAACATGATTTTGAAATAAAAAGTTTATAGTTCATTTTTAATTCATTAATTTTTTTTAATCTTGAAGCATATATGCCGTATGAAGCAACATGAGGAATAGGAATTAAGCTGAATTTATGGGAAAGATGTAACATAACAGAATTTTGAAATAATTGGTAATCTCATTTGCATCATCTGTTGAATTTACATTGCTGGTTACCACAAACACTTAAAAAATGTATTTTGTTCCTAGAATTTTCCTGTTGTAGATGTATTTTGTTCCTAGAATTTTCCTGTTGTAGGAAATGTCTTCTAGTTTTTGTAGTTATCATAGTGAAACATTGCGCTCCTTTTTATTGTTGGGTTCCTCACAAGTAAAGAAATTAGATTCAGTTGATTCCTAATCATGGTGGAAAATTCTTCAACAACTTATTTGATCAGATTGTCGATGTCACAAGATACTAATTTATGAATTTTACATATTCAGTTCCCTGTAATGAAGAAAGTGAGTCTTGATCATGTCATCTGTTTTTTTCTTATGTTATTGCAGGTATAAAGATTCTAGCAAAACATCATTTAAGTCCTCAACTCGACTAGAGTGTATGATGCAAGACTATCCGAAAACATTGCCTCCGACAGCAAGAGTTGGATATACGGTAATTGGTGGTTCCAAGCCTTACCTCCTCTCTGCCATCAGATAGGAACCTGCTTCTCTGTGATTCTGTAGAATTTGGTATTAAATATTTACCTCATCACTAAGCCTGATGTAATACAATTGTGTAGGTGATGGATACCTGGCTTGCTTATGCACCTGTGAAAAACAACCCTGAGGATGCTGCTAAGGTGAAATTATGTATTAATAATTTCTGAAGTTCATCGTTCTCTGTTTAATTGGCTCTTTTGCAATTATATCTAGCATGTCAATGTTTAACAAATCCAGGATTTCTGGTGTTGGTTCGTCTATACACAATGGGGTGACAGTATAATTTGGTTCTTTTGTGAAGATCAAAATATAGACAAGCTATAACATCAATATTGTTTTATGCAATTTCTTTCAGGAATTTATTTCAGATGGTGAACAACTCTGCTTGAAAATCATTTTTCTTTTATTTCTCTTGCATCATACTGGTTTAAATATGCTAATCATCGATTTTAGTATTATTTTGTCACAAATTTTAATAGGAAGTAGGAACTGTTTTATGGTGAATTTTGTCAAATAAGTGAATTAGTTCCTTTTAGGTTCATTACTTATCTTAAGTATAATTGCTTACACTTGAACAATATAGAATTGTTTCAAGGATATGTACACGTTACCTTAAGAATTTGCGTCATCATTACAACTCTTCTTTTTTATTATTATAATAGTACCCTTTTCACCTGTCCTTTAAACTTTTTTGGTTAATCTTCAGCAAGCAACTGTTAGGTTGCATATCTTTCTACACTATTACAAGGGTTCTGGTTGGATATTATAATCAAATTTGTTCGTACTTGATTATTAGTTGTACCCTGGGCATCTTTGTACGTTTGATTCTATTTAATAATGTTCTTCTCAAAATTGATAAGGTACCAAAAGGGAACATATAAACAGTGCAACTTTGGAGAATGTGCCATAATGTGCAAACAGTCTCATCCTTAAAAAGGTGATCATGTTATTCTTTGATTAAATTCAAGTGATTGAATCTGCTCATTCTTAAGAATATTTTTTTCACACTCTTTTTATCCCTCATTTTATTGTTAAATTTTTGGTTTCCAACTTTTATCTGTTTTTGCTAGGCTGGTGTCCAAGTGGAGGATCCAGTACAACAGGTTTTCAATGGACAAGAGGTGGAAGTGTGGCCGCATGTTACATGGAAGCCTAAATGGGGGCTAACTTTTTCTGAGATAAAAAGCAAAGTTAGTGGAAGTTGCTCCATCTCTCAAAGGTCTACCATGGCCCTTAAGGGCCGCGATATCTTTCTTGAAGATCTATCCTTGAATGGAGCTCTTATCATCAACTCTGTTGATGGTGCAGAGGTATGCCACAGTAAATTGATGGTAGATGCAAGCTATTATTTAATCTGTCCTTCCTTTTTTTTTTTTTAATCTTTTTCCTTGCTCTCTTTTTCAACAAGTTTAATAAGATTTGTTATTTGTTACAAATTAGATGTTTTAAGCGTTGACTATGAATACCAGCATCGTTCCATATATTTCTTAGTTTGGTGCCATATTTTGAAATATCACAAGAGATGTTCCTAACATGAGTTGGCTTTCATGACTTCAAGTTTCTTAGATTCTTCTTGCATGAAAATTCATGCTTGATCATGCCTTTCTTATCATTTCATTATTCACACAGTTTACCCATTATCATCATTAGCTGAGATAGATATTCAAGTTTGTTACGAGTATGTGGCTCTTCTCTGCTTGTAAACGTGGAAGGCTATTTTGTATGTTTGAAGGACAATTTTAGTTTGGGCTTCAGGCTTTAGTTCAGTTGGAGAACAAATAACATGGTTTTTTGAAATAGGTAAAAATCGGTGGATCGGTACAGAACAAGGGCTGGCTTCTTGAGAGCATTGACTACAAAAATACAGATATACCGGAGGAACTGAGGATCAGGGGTTTTAAAATCAACAAAATAGAGGAATTAGAGGAAACTTACAGTGAACCTGGCAAGTTCACCTTAAAGCCATGAAGTTGAACCTACAAAGAGAGACAGCAATTCTTTTCTTCTTTTTTGAAAGCTTTATCTGGAAATTATTAGTTAGCTCATAGCAGGAATAAATCTCTTTCCTTGAGTAACTTTTTTGGTGGAATTTTGTATGATTTATTACCCTCACCACCACCCAAACCTTCCCTCTTTCTCATCAAAACTCTTCAAACTTTTTTATTCTCTCTTACTTTTGGGATGGAAATAAAAAATTCTGGATATTTCAATAAGATGCTTATTTCTTGACTGTATTGGCCTTTCAATATCCATTGACAGAAAAGAGTGGTCCGTGGTCTTCTGTGTGAATCATATTCATGCAAAATGTGCTTCCTTGTATCTCAATTGAGGCTGAAGCCTTAATATCAGGAGAAAGATTTTGATATTTTTATATGAATTTAAAATATAATACCATGACACGATAAAAAAAAATAAAAATGATGAAGGATAAAATTTTTGTAAAAGTTATATATAAATTTGATAGTATTTTGTATTTTTCATATTAATATAAATTATAACATATAATTTTTATATAAAATATGATAAAAATATATAAATTAAAATATTTAACCTGAATTTTACATTATAAATACACATATTATAAGGCTTAATTCTTCCACATATTCCCAATTACCCAACCTAGGCTCTTCATAACAGAGAAGGGTGGCATCAAAGTTAAAACGGCTCTAGCATGAAGAATTCAACTTCTACACTCATAAGTTTCTGAAAAGGAAAACATAGGGAGGAAAGAATGCGTAAGCTTCTGAAGTCACTTCGTTTCGGCTCGTTCAAGGTTACCACCGACCATGGCCCCAATTAGCAACAAATTGAGCATGGAAAATATAAATTTAGAAGTTGAATGGTCTGCACGCGTATTTCATCTTGGAACAGTTAGACCCAACACATTCTTTGTTATTGTGGAATATTTCACTCTCGCCTTCAAAGTTTACTGGTTCACGGAACACTTGGGACTTGCCACATGTCACATTCACCTTTTTTTTCTTTTTATTTTTCTTTTTTAATTTACTTTTTTGTTTTTTACTTTTTTTAATATTTAACAATTATTTTTTATAATAACAATATATATTTGAAATATTTTATTTTTTATATGTAAAACTCATTTATATCGAATTTTCTTTTTAATCTTTTAATTTTATTTTTAAAAAATATTTTGAATATTTAATTTTTTGTATGAAACCTATTTGATACAGTGATATTTTATGTATTTTTTTTCTTTTATCACTATTTCCTTTTTTTATATATATTTAATGAATAACTTTTTAGATTTTAAATTTTCTATGAGACTTACTTGATATCAAAATTATGTGACTTTTTTTTTATATTTAATAAATATTTTGAAAATTATACAAAATTTTTTAATATGAAATTCATTTGATATTATTATTTAAAAATATATTTTTTTGTTATTATTTTTGTTTTTTCTTAATTTCCTGATTTTTAAAGAAAAAATATTAGTGGAAGTATTGATGTCACATCTAAATTTAATTTTTTTTTTATTTTTTCAGTGTTTTTTTAGATCAATGATATAATTAAAAAAAAAAAAAAACTCATCATTCTTAATGTTGTCTAGCAATTCAACTTTTTTTTTGCTTTTTACCTTTTTTTTTCTTTTTCAAGTTTTTTCTTTCTTTCTTTCCTTTTAAATAAGATTTAAAAAAAAAAAAAAGAATGTGTACACATGTCACCCTATTTCCATCTTATTTTTTTATTTTTTAATTAATCAAATTATTATTTAATATTTTAATTAAAAAATTAATATTTTAAATTCAATTAAAAATTCTACATAGTACCTTAATAAACTTCATTTTATTTCTCTCTTTAATTTTTATACATTTTTTATTAAATTAATTTTGTTAAAAAATTAGGCCAATAGAGACATCCACGTATTATCTTATTTGGATTTTGCCTTTTTTTTTCTCTTTTTTTGGTATTTTAATCTGAAAAAAAAAATGCTTATTGATAGCAATATTAAAACAATTTATACTTGACATGTTTTGATCCATCCTAATTAAATAGGAAGTGATTTTTTTTTTAAATTGGGATTGAGATCGGGCGAATTGAGTTTTTTATTTTTATAAAATACGATATTAGGATTAAAATGTGTTTAAGGTGTTTTGTCTTAATTCATTTTTGGATATATATATAATATTATATTTTTTATTATTATTTTAATTTCAATTATATATATTATATTAATAAAGTTATTGTTTGATTCTTTAATTAAAAATTGCAACAACTTCTATGAACTCATTTTTTATTTCTTAATTTTTCTTTTTTTTGTATTTGGTTTTTTTTTGGACAAATTCTTTTGTTTTATATTTCATTATTAGATATATTTTGTAATAATAGAGATCAATTCAAGTATTCACGTGGTACCTTATTTATTTTTTTATTTTTTTATCATTTTTTAAATAAATTTTGTAATAAAATGTGTCAATTGATGTAGATTTAAAAACAATCCGTATCTAACAAATTTTGATCAATTTCGATGTGATAGGAGTTGATTTTTTTAAATAAAAATTTATTTGAAACAAATCGAGTTTCTTGTGAAAAATAAGATCGAGAAGGAAATATATGTATGGTGATTTATCTTAAACTATTTTGGTATACATATAAAAGTATATATTTTATTATTAGTTTAATTTAAATATGTATTATATTAATAAAATTATTATTTAATACTTCAATATAAAAAATTAATATTTTAAATTCAATAAAAGTCTCAATTTGGCACCTTCTATGAACTTTTTTTTATTTTTTATTTATAATTTTCCTCTTTTTTTTTGTTTTTCACTTTTTTCCTTTATTTTTATTTTTTTTTCAATTTTAGGGTTTTATTTTTTTATTAATAAATTTTGTTGGAATGTGAGAACAAATGAGGTATCCACATGGTACTTCAATTTAATTTTTTTTTACCTTTCATTTTTTATTTTTTTAATTAAATAAATTTTACAATAAAAAATCGATAAATAAAGATGATAAAATAAAAAAAATTATCACCTAATTATATTAAAAATTAGTCATTTATTTCTATTAGTATTTCAGTCATATCAATTTATTATTATCATCTAAGACACGTTACATTAATTTTCTTTCGTCTTTTAGAATTTTTGGAATTTTGGAATTTTGGATGACAAGATAAAGAAAAAAAAAAATAGTTGAACCACAATTGTGTTTATAAAGGTGACTTAAACTCAGCTTTATGTACTACGTAAAAGTTTGGTCGGTTTTAAAATAGACGAAGAGAATTAATAATCTTTTCAGTATTGTATGACTCCTAATTTAAAATTTCATTTATTAATATAAAAAATTGACTTGAAAAAAAAAATGTATTGAACGAAAAAATCTTTTATCGCTAAAAGAAATAACATCGGTCCATTAGATATATGATCTATGCAATTTAACTAACTTTCTAAATATGACTTAAATTCAAAAGGTTAATGTATCTAATAATATATATATATATTGAAATTTATTTTATGTTGAAAATTTACCACAGAAATTTCCATTTTTTACAAAAAATAATTGATAATTTTATAAGATCCAAAATTTGGTGCCAGAATTTTCTCCTATTAATTAAAGTCAAACCGACAAGCAACTTTCCAGAAAACAATTACAGTATAAACCAATGAGAGAGACTGACGCATTAAAGACCATAACAGTGATAGGGATCAGAAGCCAATTTGCTTCATCTGATCTTTAGCTCAACAGTAAAGAAAAAATTGGACCGAGAAAATTCGATATCTATGAAAATCAAGAATAATATTTGTTTCCATAAAATAATTTTCCAGGGAAACTTCTTGCAAACTTCCTTTTCCCATGTCTTCTGCATAAAATGGATTGTTACAATTTCACAAACCGTACAAAACATTAACTACTTTCTCCAGCCATTTGCATATATAAATCCAAACTTACCCCTTCACTATGCTGTCATCATATGTTCAAGAAACATTAAATTCTAAAGCTTCAACATTTCATGTTAATGGTGACTTTCTCTTTGGTAACATGTCTCCCCTTAGCAAGAACGACTTGCAACGGATTTTCGAGAAGCTTGACAAGAATGGGGATGGCTTTGTTAGCCTGGAGGAACTTAATTGGCTCCTGGAGAGAATTGGAGTCCAGTTTAGCCTCGAGGAGTTGGAGTCCTTGGTGGGAAAACCATTTCTCGACTTTGATGAATTCTTGTTCTTCTATTATTCTATCTCGAACCAGAATGCCGATGGCGGAAAGAAGAAGATTGAGCCAGTAGCAGGTAGTGAGGAGGAGTTAGAATTGATCGATAGCCATGGCGGTGAAGAAGATAGTGACCTTGCCAAGGCATTCAAGGTGTTTGACTTGAATGGGGATGGCTTCATTTCTTGTGAGGAGCTTCAAAACGTGTTGGGAAGACTTGGTTTATGGGATGAAAGCAGCGGCAAAGACTGCCGAAGCATGATTTGCTTCTACGACACCAATATGGACGGCATGGTTGATTTTGAAGAATTCAAAAACATGATGTTGCACTCCATTTCTTAGTTCATCAAGATTTCAACTAGTGTGAAAATTATGGTTCGTTATATTGATCATATATGATGGTCATCCTTCAGCCAATATAAGCGTTTTTCTTTGAGTGTTGGTAGCAAATATTCTATGATGTTTTTCTCCAGTTTGTTCATGATTTTCTTCGGCAGATCTTTGTAACATGCTATACTACATAGAATGTCTCGATTATTCCTTTTTTTTTTCTTTTTTCCTGTTTTGGATAAGAGCATGTAATATATAGTATAACTTCCTTTCCCTTTTCCTCTTTCTTTTGACGTTTATGTCTTTATTGCCCTTAATTATATGGCGTACTTAGTTGAAACAAAAGATACAAAGTAGGGTCACTAAAAATACGGGAATACAAGGGGTACAGTGTACTTCTCACCATAGGTTATTTTGTGTTATATATTATAGAAAAAAAAAATTAAGATTCGAAAATACATACATACACATGCGCATATATATATATATCACAAGAAATTTTTTAGATATAAGAGTTTTTAGACTTTTTTCAATATAATTTTTTTATCATTTCAAATATATTTGTTTACATTTAGTGTGAAGAATTTATATAAAATTATCCTCATAAATTTTTAATAAATTTAATTCAAAAAATTAAAAGACAAACAAATTTTCTTTATTACTCGTGCTAACATTAGTTGATTTTATAGCATAAGATTTTAGTAGCCAAAAATTAAAAAATTAAAAAAATTAAAAGATTTTTTAATATTGTTTATATCGATAAAATTAATAAAATTATTATATTATATATATAAATATTATAAATAAATACTAAAAAAAAATTATGAATCCTTCACTGAGCAGTTGTCTAATATTGTTAAATATGTACCTATAATTGTTGAGACAACTTCCAGTGAAATCCAAAAAATTTCATGGCTGACTTTGAATATTCAACTTTCCAAACATCTTTTGTGTTCATTGGAAGTGTAATTCTCTCTGATCCCATCATCTTTAACATTGTTTCCAGATATTTTCTTAGAAAGTGGCAGCAGCTTCAATCTTATATATATATCATTGTCAATAGCTAACCGCCAAACAAAATGTAACCATAGAAACAACGAATAATAGACCCCCTTTTAGACTGTTCTGATATGTCCAATAGTACTATATATATAATAATTGAAACATCTATACTTAGAATTAGAATATGATCTTTATCTTTGTGGGATGGCAAATTTCCTTAAGGAAGGAAATAACATTGTCATTGCTTCTGAGAACAGCAATGGAATATTAATATTCTGAGAAGCCTCAACCAAGCTGCAGCAACTAACTTTGACAATGTCATGCCCATTGTATTGAAAATTACCTATGGATGGGTTCATTTTTCAGAGCCACTTGCACCAAACTTTGATTATCATAATTCAGAAATATCCTTTCATTATATACAAGAAAAAAAAAAAAAAAAAAAAAAACACAACATGCTTATCTGTGATGAAAGATTGAAGTAAGTCAATATGTTGTTTTTAGACATTATAAGACGATTTTCTACGGTTGGAAACTTGATTGTTTGAATCAGCAATCAAATTGAAATAGAGAGGAGGAAAAAAATGTAACTAATCCATTATTGTAAAGTCACTTGTATTTTAATGAAATTTCAAATTTAATTCATATATTATAATTCATAGAAATTAAGTGTTTATACTATTTTGATTTGATAATTTTAGTTTAATTACTAATCCATTGAAAAATGTTAATGTGGTTATTTACTTGATAAATTTTACCTTATTGAAGTGGAATTGACTTTATAACGTAGCAACATGATTAAATGAAATTAATTGTCAAATTGTGCAATGGTCCTTGCACTTACACGATGGTAGAAAATTTATCCCTTTAGTGTAATTTATAAAAATTTCATCCTTCTATAAGTTAAAATTGATAATGTTAATTAAATTGCTAATACGAAATTACTTTCTGCTAACTTTACTGATGTGAACGTTATCTTTTTAGAACGTTATTTGAAAATTAAAGAAATATCTTAATTTTTTTTTAAATTTAGAAGATTAAAAAAATCCTAAAAATAAAAAAATCTGATAGTTTTGGCTTTTTACAATCGGGTTTCAATATTTTTGAAAAATAAAAAATTGAATTATTTAAGTTTTTAAATTATAAAAAATCAATTTATTTTTTATTATTTTAATTTTTTAAAAATAATATTTTTTGAATTATTATGAAAAATCATATTTCATTTCTTAAAAATAATTTTTAATTTTAAGAATATTTTAGATATATACCAATATTTACTTTCTTAAAAATAATATTTTGAATTTTTAATAAAATTAAGGTATTGGAAAAAATAATTTTAATAATTAATAAATTTCAAAAATCGAAAACTATTTTTAAAAAAATTTAAATATAATTTTTTTCAAAAATAAAAGAAATATTATTTTTAAAAAATTAAAATATCGGAAAAAAATCAAATTTAAGATTTTTAAAATAAAGAATTTAAATAGTTCATAAATTTGAATTTTAAAATTAAAAAAATATTTTTCTTAAAAGAATTCTAGAAATATTATTTTCAAAAAATAAAATATTCAAAAAATTTTAATTCAATGTTTTAAAAGAATTCAAAAGAGCCTAAAAAAACAAAAAAAAATATCATTTTTTAATTTTTCATATCTTTTTGAAATATTTGAGATTCAGATGTTTTTGTTAAAAAAAAATAGTTACGTTAATAAAATTAACGGAGAGTAATAAATCGTATTAATAATTGAATCAACATTATCAAATTTAACTTATATAAAAAAAAAATTTTATAAATTATATTAGAGAGACTAAAATTTAAATTTTATATGAATGTATGGATTATTTGCATATTTGACAATTGATTTCATATATTTATGTTATCATGTTAACAAAATCTACATTATATTAATAAAATTAATGCTACATTAGCAAGTTTAACGTCTATGTCATCAAATCAACGTATACATCAGCATTTTTAAGGTTAAAAATTGATAATATTAATGATTAAATTAAAATTATCAAATAAAATAATATGAGAGTTATATTTTTATGAATTATAGTAAAGAGATTAAATTTTAAATTTTACTAAAATATAAGGTTGATTATCATAATTTAACCATATTGTAACAAATGAGGATCGTTCCTGGAAGTAGCCAGATTGAAGACTAAAATGATAGAAACCTGGGCAAGATTTAGGGTTGGGCCTCTACATCCCTGGTACATCCTTTTACAGTGTTGGGCCCCGGCAGTGCGAAGGACGGGGACAATTGACAAAACGGTAGCAATGTAGGATGAAGTCTCTATCGGAGAGTCAGACTTGAACTGCACGAGTGCTTTTACAGAGTTCAGTGACGGCAACGACGAAGGACGAGAGGAGGAAGAGGAAAACAAGAATAAGAGTGATGGTGAAGTTAGGGTCAGACTTGAGAAATATAAAGTATGTGAGGAGAGTAAAGTTGATTATATGCTGTGTTTGGATAATGAGGAAGCAATTAAGCTCTTTAATGAGAGTGAAAAATGGGAGAAGTACGAGAGGCATTGTCTTGGAAAAGATAAATTGTTGGATTGTGTGGTTCCGAGGCCTGAAAATTGGAAAAGATAAATATAAGGTATGTCGATGAGGTAAGTTTTTGCCCGAAAATTCTTTGACTTTATTTAACATTTGCTATTTTTGTTTAAAAAAGTGTTAGATTGGCTATTAATTAGTTTTTCTACTAGGTTAAGTTTGATAATTTTAATAGGGAGTAGATGGGAGTTTGATTGGGATTGGTTTCAAGTAATTGCATTTTGGGGTGTTAAGGGTGTTGTTGATGGGTGGGTAGCTAAGAAGTTGGATGTCAAATGCCTGTACAAAGAGCTGGTGTTGAACTAGGTAGGCAAGAGGGGTTTAGTGAGCTTCTGTGATTGACTAAGATATGAAGGAAGAGTCTTTTCATGGAGAGTATGCGCCAAACTAGTTTCTTAGTGTTTTTAAGGAATTGTTGTCAAACATGGATACCTGCAGTCTGTGCTTCAGAGAATAGAAAATATTTGCCTTCTGTAGCCATTTACATTATTTACACATTAATTCTAATGGAAATGAATCATGGATATGCCATAAGAGCATCAAACCAGCAAGGAGCCTTCAAAAGTTAACTCAAGTGCTTAGACCAATAGCTTATTTTATTTTTTTTTAAATAGTTAAACCCAGTAAAAAAATTTATAACAAAGAAAATGGCATAGAAGAATTGAGAAATCTTTGTTTAAGACTTGGCAAAAAAAAAGTTGAGAAGAGTGGGGAGTGTATGTGTGTGCGTTTGGCGGGGGGGTGGGGGGCCGCTAAAGTCTCTACCAATTAAGTAAATAAAGATGCTGGAAGAGAAAAGCTATAGTCTCCGATAACCTTGAATGACATTCTTTTAAGGAGTATTTGTAGTTGGGTGCTTTTGTCTTATCTGTTTTTGCACATATTCTCTGCTCCTTCAAATTGTGAAACGGCAGAAAAGCTCAAATGAGGCTCATAACAAGTTAGAGTCTGACGATGTTTGCAGGAATGTTGATTTGAGGGCTGCATCACTCAATTGCCAGTTAACGGTTATGGCTCTAATTTTAGCACATGGCCTGCACGTTTTCACTATCCACCTGACTGGCTTCAAACAGTGGCAGATCTAGAAATTTTTTCGGGGGCATCCATTTACAATATATATATATATATATATATATATATATATATATATATAAAACATTGTTGATGGATTTACTAATTTTATTAATGGAAAGGGTATCCAGAAGAAAATTTTGGGGGTATCCAGAAGAAAATTTTGGGGTTGTCCGGGGAAGTTTTCTTTTAAATTTTCTTGTTTTCCAATTTTTAGAGGTATCTAAAAAAAACTTTTAGGGTGTCCAGTAGAAAATTCTCCTTTAAAATTTCTTGTTTTCCAATTTTTTGGGATATCTATGGACATCCTATCACTCTATTTACATCTGGACCTGGCTTCAAGGCATAGAAATGGATGCCTACATATCTTTAGAGCAGAGTCAAAATATTGGAATGAAGTAATAGACGGTTATATGTGTGCTTTTTGCTAGAAAGATATGAAACTATGTGATGTGATGGACATGAGAGCTGGACTTGGAGGATAACATCTTACATGCCATTCTACTGCATAGACTTTTCTGATTTTAGAATGCTTTTTATTTTGATAAAAACTGAAAAAATCTATTGCATTATTTTGTAATATTTGTTTATTTCGACTCTAAAGGTTTACAGCAGCATTAAATGATCTCCAGATTGATTGCTGGGTAATGAATGCTGTTCCTGTTAGTGGGTTCAACACCTTGCCTGTTATTTATGATCGCAGGCTTATAGTTGTTATGCATGACTGGTATAGATTATGTGCACTAACTCTAGTTTTCATATTCTTCCTCCAACATCACGTGCTTGGTGATTTTGTAGCATATATCCAGATTCTTTTACCCTCGTACATAAAATTTTGAAGCTACTACTTTGGACCATGAATCCTTAGGGCACATTAAATGTATTGCTTTTGAAACTGCTGTGAAACTTTGCAGCTTACATTATGTACCTGCTATGCTCGATCTCATCCAACCTGAAGGGAACGCCTGAATGGTGGTAAAAATATCCAGAAAAGGATCACCATCTGATGTCATCACCAAAATTTGTACTCAGTTGTATTTTCTGTAAGCTATCATGTTTGATTTGAGCAAGACAAAACCTTTCCTCTCACTAATTTTTAAAGTTAAATACGTAGGTTCTCCAAAAGCCAAGCTTTTTTGAGCTTTGGCTTGAGGCTTAATCTAGCCTTAACTAATCAACTTAACATGTCCAGTAAATTGCATTAACCATGCTAAATGTCATGGTTTACACCAACTTATGAGGTATTGTTCATTTCGGCTTATTGAGTCTTATGGTTTTGTTCTACAAAAACCATCTCACAAGTTGAAAGTGTTTTAATTTCAAGACCGATTTGAGTATACAGCTGATGTGGGATTCTTGGCTTCTCTCTAGGACCATAACATACTCCCCATTCCAACAAGAGCTCATTGTCTTCGGTGACATATCACTAGTACCCTTAGAGCTGTTTCTGATATCAAATGTTACTATTCACATCAATTTATGAGGTATTGTCAGTTTTGGCCCACTGTGTCTCATGTTTTTGTCCTACAAAAAGTATCATAAGTTGAAGGTGGTACAAACACCTATATCCCAATACCAACTCTAGTACATGAGCGATGTAAGATTCATGTCTCTTCTCTAGGATCATGACACTAAGCCTTAAAAGTCAAGTACAAGCAGCTGTCAGAAATAGAGCTTAGTAAAGCAATGTGAGAAACTTTTGATTTGTTGGTTGGGAAGGTAAGAGGAACTGCCACCATGTTTATATCCAAGTAATAATACTTGCACACTTTCACAAACTGCCAGTTTTGTCATGGTTAAAATTGCACTCTTCCATAGGTTCATTTGCAGTTGTTCATTCGAGACTGAAGTTTTCTGAATGCTTTCTGGCTCATCTGTAGAACTTCCAAGTTCCACTTATGATTCTCTATTCTTCGTGCTTCAGATTTACTCATGATTCTCAATTTTTTTCCCGGGTGTGAGCAGTTTGATACTTATCCAAGAACATATGAACTATTGCATGCAACATGTATTTTCTCTGTTGAGAAGAAGAGGTATAAATCATCTTTTTTCCTGCTTGTGCCCTAGTATTTGTTACTAACGCACATTTTTCAGGTACAGTTTATCATGTTCCTTATCTGGTTTATGTAGGTTGAATATGTCAACCATCATGCTTGAAATGGATTGGATGCTGAGACCTGGTGGACGTGTATATGTACGGGACTCAGTATCTGTTATGGGTGAACTTCAAGAAATAGCAACTGCAATGGAATGGGTGCTGCACTACATGAAACTGGTTAAGGTCCACATTCGAGAAAATTTTAATCTGAGAAACGTATGTGATGTGCTTGTTGGATGACTATCAGTGAAACCATGTTTTACAGGTGTATCCTGCCCGCTTTTTTGATGGGTTAATATTATGAATAACTCTTAAATTATAATAAAATATTTAATATAAAATTTAAATTTAAAAAATTTTTAATGTAGTATTTGAATCATAAATTATTAAATTTATTAACTAATATTGTACTTATTCCTAATGTAGTTAATTTTAAATAATGATATTTATGAGACATAATTTTTCAAGTATTACATTGGTTAACAGACTAATAATTCAAGTATTATATTAATTAACAAATTCATAATTTAATATCATATTATATGTTTTTAAAATTCACGTATCATATTAAATAATTTACTATAATTTAAAGTTACTTCATTGCAAGAACCCTTTTTTGGATATATGTAATCTCACATATAGAAGCTGCTCTTCTCTGAAAAAAATAGAAAGAAGCTGCAACTCATTATATATAATTTCTTGTAATCTATAGCTGCGTTAGTACCAAAAGCATTATTAGGATAGGCTACGATTCAATATTACTGCATTTGGATAAACCCATGCTAGATCTGCCTTCCCTTTTGCAGTCTAAATATAATTTGTACACTACAAATTTTGCCATTTAATAAATTTACTTGAAATTGTCACTGCAACCTTCATATCCTTACTGTTCTCTTTAGAAAATTGTATTCCATGTTTTATTTGAGGGATATGTGAATTCATCATTTCAGGAAACTTTCTGAGGAATATTAGGAAAGAAAAAAAAAGTACAATATATATTAGCAAATGGCATAGAATCCTTGCAACACCAAAAGAAGGCTGCACTGTTAAAGCATCTAAAACTCATTTCATTATTGTCTTCTCAATAATGATCCCAAATCATGCAGATTACTTACAACTTAAAAGTTCATGCATTGTATATTTGTAACATAGATTTCCCCAACCATAGATCATCAAACTTTTCTTCTTTTATATATACTAAAAGTTCATCCATCAGCAATGACCAAAAACACATTATCCAAATGATGAACAAAACAATTCTTGATCAGAATTGACTATGATTTCATTGAAGAATCCTTATGAGCAGCGGTATTCACCTGTTTGGAGAGATAAGCTTCATAAATTTCCACAACAATCCGAGGATCCTTTTCGACAAGTTCCATATACTCTTCCCTTTTAGTAAGCTTATCCATGTTGTCTGTTATCAAACACAAAGCTGCATCAAGCACGAGCTTGGCGCTGTGCTGGTGAGCAAAAGCATAGCTCACAAGTGAATTATCCCAGTTCAATTTGGATACCAGGAACTTCTCGCAGAACCCCTTGAGATGCTTCACCTGGTATTTTTCAGCCAAAACCAGAAGGTCACAAGCCATCTGCTCATCCAGCCATGCTTCCGCAGTGTACAAATAGTTTACAAAGGCACGAAGCGCATCGTATGATACATCACTGATCTTGATGGTTCCACTCCTGCTTTCTTCCATCTCATTCTCAAGCATTGCTTTGAATACAGGTGAACGACTTACCTGGTTTCACATCAAATTTTCATAAATAGTTGCAAAATAACAAACAAATAATGACTTTCTAAAAACCCAAAGTTTGGATTTTAGATACAGTAAAATCCGAAAGTGAGTTTCTGAAAGCTAAAAGCCAAAGTTCCAAATAAAGCTTCCGAAAAATTGGCAACGCAGAAATTAACAAAATTTCCTCACAGACAAAAAAAATTTCCTTTCAGTTAATCCATAAAAGTTTCCAAAAAATTAAGTTTGGGTCGCACTTGTTTTACATTAGAACTTCAAATTTCTGCATTTTAGATAAGAAATTAAAGCAATTCAATCAGATGGGTAGTACCAAAACGGCTTTATGGGCGGGTACAGGCATAGTCGGCAGGCCGGGAGACCCATCATCGGAAGCGACCAAAACGATGTCGGGGAAGAAGATACCGGGCGAGTTGGAGGCACGGTGGGTATGATCGAGCGGAGACCAAAAGCGTAAAAAGGCGACTTTGGCTTTTAGCTCTTCGATCTCTCGCTTCAGTTCTTCCTCGGTCTCGCTTGCCTCCTCATAGCACTCCTTGCACGTGCCGGCGTCGCATGCTCCGTACTCTTCCTTGCACGATATGCACCTCATGGTCTCGGTGTCCGTCTCGCTCTCCATCTCGGATTCGGATCGCGCGGCCCGGTGGCACCTGTGCCTACGCATTTTTTCTTTTAGCTTTTGGTCCTATGGGAAGCAGAAGTGCGGTTATTGCTACCGGCTGGTTATGGGGTCTATATGTATTAAAACCAAATAGTTCTACACTTTTTTCCCCTTAATTTTTATTTAATTTAATGGGTGATAATAATGTATCATTTAAAAAGAAATCTATTTATCATTTAAATTTCTTACCACGTTTAAATTAAAATTTTTTTCTTTTCTTTTGTATCTTTCATTTGATAAAATATTATGAAGATAATTTGTTTTGTTACAAGAATCATACAATAATTTTTGGATAAATCAAGTTTTTTTAAGTGAAATTTATGAATTTTTTAATTGATTTAATACAAATTTACATAAAAAATTCAAACTAATCGATTGATAAAATTTAATGTAAAGATCAATAATATAAAAAAAATTAAAAATATTATTAGTAATTTAAATTTAATGAGTGTTTATTTAATGATAAAATTTTCTTTTAGCAATTTTTATTACAAATAGGGGATTAAGAAGGGTGATTTTATTGGACCATTTAAAGTTGCTTTTTCAGATATTCTAATATCTTTACCTCATTTAATGTGTCACACAAAATACTCAGAGGTAACTTTATTTAAGTGTTTTCTCTTATTTTTCCTTTAAGGTAAATTTCAAGCTTGTAGGGTTTTGGCTATCTTTATGGAGGCATTAATTTCAACATATGAAAACTTTATTTTATTAAGGCTAGAAGTGGCTAGGATAAATTATTCATAACCATATTGTCTTTGCACCATGATAGGGGAATAACTCACTGTAACTCAAAGGCCTAAGAGAGGAACCCAAAGTTAATCTTTACAACCATACAACACTAGTCCATAAGGCATCCAAAGAGCTCTCCATATCACATCTAGGCTAGTGAGCTTGTGTAGAAATAAGATCCATGCTTCCTTGGATTTTTGTGTAGGCCATTCATTCTCACAAAATTCCTTGATAGAAATGCTTGTAGTGAAATAAGGCTCGGGAATTTTACCATTATTATTTTTTATATGATTTTTCATCTAAATGGTTAACAATTGAGCACATCTAGTAAAATGGCCCTATCCATTTTGATGATAATAATTTAAAGATCTAATAGTCTCAGCTAAAATTACAGGAATATGGTTGATTTGGTAACCAAATTGATCAAAAAAATCCATCACTTCAACATCAATATAACCCATTACTTTTGAAAATACCATCATCCTATATAAAGCCAATGCCATCAAATCCATTCCTCTTTTAGTGCCAAAATATTTGTATATAAAGTCACGAATAATAGACAAAGGAATACCAACACTTTCACCTTGTTCTTTTATCCAATTATCAACAATTTGGACATTTACGGCCATCATTTAAGCAAACCTTTTTTGGTAACCAGTTTTTATTTTTTTCAATATACTTTATCAGGATTAAGGAGATCCAAGTGGAGGAGAGTTGAATATTCTTCAATAGTTAACACCATATCAACCTTATTGAACATAAAAGCAATGATATGAAGAGTCATAAAATTGAACCGTGACCCCAATAAGCTAATCATCGATAGGGACTAAAAGAAGTAAAATAGGTTATCCAAACTTATTTTGGAAAATTTCCTTAGCAGTGACACTTCATTGGTTCCAAATACTAACCAAATCATTAAGATCATTTTTTTTTTAGATTGAAATGGATTTTAGCAAGCAGAATAGTTATATAATTGACTGGTAAACAATCTTTAAGCTGAGCTTCCTCAAACTTCATTCTTAGGCTTATAAAGAACTTTGATAAGCTCTTCATAAATGTAATTAAGATTTTCTTTATTAAAATTGTTTTATGACAATCATTCCTTATGTAAATCTAATGATGTATGTATGCAAAATAAAGTAAAGAAAAATGTTAGTTAACATATAAAAGGTTAATATGCAAAAATATATACAAGGAATAATATAAATTTACAATAATAATAATTGTTTCGTTACATGTCTTATTTAGGTTTTTTCTAATAAAGGGAAGATAGAGCTCTAACCTAGGTTTGGATTCTTAGGGTTTATGTACATATTGGGTTTAAAGCTTGACAATCTAAATGCTCCCAAACTATTCCCTACATCATCATCTATTATAGACTAGTAGGGCACCCCTAATCATCGCCCACCATTATAGGCTCAAACGAAAAGAGTTCAATTTGAGCGATAGTTTTCACTAACTCACATGGAGGTTATCATTTCATGAGAATGTAAGTATTTACTCCCTCTTAATAAAGGATAAGGCCCGGATATAAAACTATGTATAAATGCAAGTGTAATGTGTGTAAAAGGACATGTCAAATAATCAAATAGATAAGTATGAATAAAAAATAATATCTGTAAAACAAACATGTAAGAAATCACAAACAAATAGGTTAGTTCACATGAATAATTACATAATAAAAACTCCACATGAATAATTAACTAATAAAACTATAAAAAAGGCTTAAGATAACATATAACTAACTAATGGCTAGACTTTTTAATGTCCTTAGTGAAGTTGCCAAACTATCATAATGTTTAGGTTGGGAGAACCTATCTATTAGATACAAAAATTATGGAGTCGTCACTAATCTTTTTTACCTTGATGTGATTGGCCACCTATATGAATTTATCCTTTTTAAGGTTGTCTTAAGTGTAAACTAAAGGTTCCTAAAAAGAATAGGTTCTAGTCTATATCAACAAAACTAAGGTTCTGGAGTCAATTACATGCAGGAAAGGTGTTAGCACTCCTTTATGCCCAAAATTGATACCAAATTAATTGTGTGTTATCTTGCCCAAGCCTTATCGAAGATGGTTGTTATCATGCAAACTAAAATCATAACATAGTAATACAAAAATTCTATCAAAATATCAAACAATTAAGCAATCATGCAATAAATATTAAAAATCATACCATGTAAAAATTATCATGCAAATATATTATAAATCAAACCAAATATCATGTAATAATATCATGCCTAGATCATGCTAAAATATTCATGCAAGAATGTCATACAAATATATTAATTATCATGCACTAATAATAATTATATATTTATATAATTATTATTACTGCATGATAATTAATATATTTGTATTATCATGCAATAATACCATGCAAATATATTAATAATCATATAAATATGAAATCAAATATAATCACACAAATATATTAATAATTATGTAATTAAATATAATCATGTAATTACGCACACAGTAAATATAAAAAATGCAATTAGACATCATTCAAATATAATATTAATCATGCAATAGCATATAATATCATATCATGTGACATAAAATCATGTAATATTAATAAATAAATAATCACGCAAATAAATATATTACTAATCATACAATCATACAAATAAATAAATTGATAATCATACAAATAAATATATAATTATACAAATAAAAATATATAGATCATGCAAATAATCATGCAAATAAAAATATATATAGATCATGCAAATAAACATGCAATTAACTTAAAAATCAAACAAATAATATATAATACTAATCATGATAGCATGCAAAAATAATAGACAAACAAATTATCATGTAAAAATCAAAACATTTTTCTTTTTTTAGCATTACATTAATTCAGATAATATTCAGAATAACAAAATTAAAACCAAGCAGAAAAGTCAAATCAAATCAAACCAAAAAAATAAATAAAACAAAAAAAAATTGCAATCCGAGTAGGGTCAAAACTGTATCACCAAACGGATCCACTCAGGTAGGGACGTGGGTTGGCTGTGCTCAAAACAACATTGTTTTGTGCTTATATAAAAGGTAAGAAAATTAGACTTTCTTCATATTTGCCTTGCTTAGCTCCATTTAGATCCCAATTTCTCTGACCTCTCTCTAGCTTCAAACGAAAAATTTAACATTTTCCAAAAATAGACCACTTTTTCTAGAATCCGGCATGAGCAATTCAATTGGTCGTCAGTAAATTCAAACAAATCCAGAGTTTTCTAGAAAACTATCTAGCAACCCAAAAATCGATAGTCGTATTTTTCATTCGACCACCGTATATTCCACTGAAAAATTCAAACGTCATCTAAATTTTCAAGCCTAAACCCAGAAAACTCAAAATTTTTCCAAATTAAATAATTCAAACTCAAAAATTTGAACCAAAAGTCCCAAAACCAAAAAACTTAGAAATTCAAGATTACTCAGTGTTGAATTCCCAAAATCCACTATCAATCTGCAATTAAAATATCAAATCAGAAATCACCTAAAACCCATAAACCCTAGCACAATTCTCAAAAAATAAAACCCAAAAAATATGATTGCCCCATTTCCTTGTGTGTTCCTTTCCTCTAATTGCTCCACCTCTGTTCGCAAATTGGGGGTGCCTTTTATAAGGCTTCAAATTTGGAAAAACCCAAAATTTCATAAAATCTTCAATAAGATTTTCCATATTTAAATTTCCTATAATTTTTCATTCTTTCATTGAATTAAGATCCAAGTTTTCTAAAATTTGTTTAATCATTAAATTTCCAAATCTAGATTGAATTCAAGGATCTTCAATTTTTAAAAGAATCGTGATCTTCAATTTTCCACTTTTTTTTTCTACTTTTAACTTTTTTTTTGACTAAAATTAAATCTAAAATTAAAAACAAAAATAAGAATTAAAATTAAAAATTAAAAATCAAAATCAAAACTAAAATTAGAAGCAAAATCAAAATTAAAGTAAAAATCAAAATTAAAATTAAATTAAAAATTTTGGACTTTTAATCATTAGGTTCAAATTTTACTTTTTGTATTAAGACCTGTTTGCACAATTAAAGTCCATTTTATTATTGAAAAAATTTTCCAACAAAATAGGTTGTATACATTAAGGGTGAGTAAATGATCGGTTCGATCGGTTCAGTTTGAAAAAATCAATAACCGATTTAATCGATTTTCATTTAACAAATAATCGAATCGACCGAATATTATTAAATAACCGATCATAACCGAACCGATCAAAATCGATTCGGTTCAATCGGTTTGGTTAAATAACTGATTTTTTTATCATTTTTTTTCTATTATGAATAATTATTTAACCACAAATTCAATTCAATAAAATTCAAACTCTAGTGTCATTCAAACTAAATTACTAAAGAATTT